CTCTACTTTAAAGAGTCCTCTCCTGCTGATGTTCAGGTGTATATCAGTAGTGTCTCTACTTTAAAGAGTCCTCTCCTGCTGATGTTCAGGTGTATATCAGTAGTGTCTCTACTTTAAAGAGTCCTCTCCTGCTGATGTTCAGGTGTATATCAGTATGTAGTGTCTACTTTAAAGAGTCCTCTCCTGCTGATGTTCAGGTGTATATCAGTATGTAGTGTCTCTACTTTAAAGAGTCCTCTCCTGCTGATGTTCAGGTGTATATCAGTATGTTGTTGTCTCTACTTTAAAGAGTCCTCTCCTGCAGATGTTCAGGTGTATATCAGTATATATGTCTCTACTTTAAAGAGTCCTCCTCCTGCTGATGTTCAGGTGTATATCAGTATGTAGTGTCTCTACTTTAAAGAGTCCTCTCCTGCTGATGTTCAGGTGTATATCAGTATATAGTGCTCTACTTTAAAGAGTCCTCTCTCTGCAGATGTTCAGGTGTATATCAGTATTATGTCTCTACTTTAAAGAGTCCTCTCCTGCTGATGTTCAGGTGTATATCAGTATGTAGTGTCTCTACTTTAAAGAGTCCTCTCCTGCTGATGTTCAGGTGTATATCAGTATGTAGTGTCTCTATTTTAAAGTCCTCTCCTGCTGATGTTCAGGTGTATATCAGTATGTAGTGTCTCTACTTTAAAGAGTCCTCTCCTGCTGATGTTCAGGTGTATATCAGTATGTAGTGTCTCTACTTTAAAGAGTCCTCTTCTGCTGATTGTTCAGGTGATATCAGTATGTAGTTCCGTTTTGTATATCAGTATGTAGTGTCCTACTTTAAAGAGTCCTCTCCTGCTGATGTTCAGGTGCAATCAGTATGTAGTGTCTCTACTTTAAAAGAGTCCTCTCCTGCCTGATGTTCAGGTGTATATCAGTATGTAGTGTCTCTACTTTAAAGAGTCCTCTCCTGCTGATGTTTCAGGTGTATATCAGTATGTAGTGTCTCTACTTTAAAGAGTCCTCTCCTGCTGTTGTTCAGGTGTATATCAGTATGTAGTGTCTCTATTTTAAAGAGTCCTCTCTTGCTGATGTTCAGGTGTATATCAGTATGTAGTGTCTCTACTTTAAAGAGTCCTCTCCTGCTGATGTTCAGGTGTATATCAGTATGTAGTGTCTCTACTTTAAAGAGTCCTCTCCTGCTGATGTTCAGGTGTATATCAGTATGTAGTGGTCTCTACTTTAAAGAGTCCTCTCCTGCTGATGTTCAGGTGTATATCGTAGTGTCTCTACTTTAAAGAGTCCTCTCCTGCTGATGTTCAGGTGTATATCAGTAGTAGTGTCTCTACTTTAAAGAGTCCTCTCCTGCTGATGTTCAGGTGTATATCAGTAGTGTCTCTACTTTAAAGAGTCCTCTCCTGCTGATGTTCAGGTGTATATCAGTATGTAGTGTCTACTTTAAAGAGTCCTCTCCTGCTGATGTTCAGGTGTATATCAGTATGTAGTGTCTCTACTTTAAAGAGTCCTCTCCTGCTGATGTTCAGGTGTATATCAGTATGTAGTGTCTCTACTTTAAAGAGTCCTCTCCTGCAGATGTTCAGGTGTATATCAGTATATATGTCTCTACTTTAAAGAGTCCTCTCCTGCTGATGTTCAGGTGTATATCAGTATGTAGTGTCTCTACTTTAAAGAGTCCTCTCCTGCTGATGTTCAGGTGTATATCAGTATGTAGTGTCTCTATTTAAAGAGTCCTCTCCTGCTGATGTTCAGGTGTATATCAGTATGTAGTGTCTCTACTTTAAAGAGTCCTCTCCTGCTGATGTTCAGGTGTATATCAGTATGTAGTGTCTCTACTTTAAAGAGTCCTCTCCTGCTGATGTTCAGGTGTATATCAGTATGTAGTGTCTCTACTTTAAAGAGTCCTCTCCGGCTGATGTTCAGGTGTATATCAGTATGTAGTGTCTCTACTTTAAAGAGTCCTCTCCTGCTGATGTTCAGGTGCATATCAGTATGTAGTGTCTCTACTTTAAAGAGTCCTCTCCTGCTGATGTTCAGGTGTATATCAGTATGTAGTGTCTCTACTTTAAAGAGTCCTCTCCTGCTGATGTTCAGGTGTATATCAGTATGTAGTGTCTCTACTTTAAAGAGTCCTCTCCTGCTGATGTTCAGGTGTATATCAGTATGTAGTGTCTCTACTTTAAAGAGTCCTCTCCTGCTGATGTGTTCAGGTGTATATCAGTATGTAGTGTCTCTACTTTAAAGAGTCCTCTCCTGCTGATGTTCAGGTGTATATCAGTATGTAGTGTCTCTACTTTAAAGAGTCCTCTCCTGCTGATGTTCAGGTGTATATCAGTATGTAGTGTCTCTGCTTTAAAGAGTCCTCTTCCTGCTGATGTTCAGGTGTATATCAGTATGTAGTGTCTCTGCTTTAAAGAGTCCTCTCCTGTTGATGTTCAGGTGTATATCAGTATTAGTGTCTCTACTGTAAAGAGTCCTCTCCTGCAGATGTTCAGGTGTATATCAGTATGTAGTGTCTCTACTTTAAAGAGTCCTCTCCTGCTGATGTTCAGGTGTATATCAGTATGTAGTGTCTCTACTTTAAAGAGTCCTCTCCTGCTGATGTTCAGGTGTATATCAGTATGTAGTGTCTCTGCTTTAAAGAGTCCTTTCCTGCTGATGTTTTAGGTGTATATCAGTATGTAGTGTCTCTGCTTTAAAGAGTCCTCTCCTGCTGATGTTCAGGTGTATATCAGTATAGTGTCTCTGCTTTAAAGAGTCCTCTCCTAGTATAGTGTCTCTACTTTAAAGAGTCCTCTCCTGCAGATGTTCAGGTGTATATCAGTATATATGTCTCTACTTTAAAGAGTCCTCTCCTGCTGATGTTCAGGTGTATATCAGTATGTAGTGTCTCTACTTTAAAGAGTCCTCTCCTGCTGATGTTCAGGTGTATATCAGTATATAGTGTCTCTACTTTAAAGAGTCCTCTCCTGCAGATGTTCAGGTGTATATCAGTATATATGTCTCTACTTTAAAGAGTCCTCTCCTGCTGATGTTCAGGTGTATATCAGTATGTAGTGTCTCTACTTTAAAGAGTCCTCTCCTGCTGATGTTCAGGTGTATATCAGTATGTAGTGTCTCTATTTTAAAGAGTCCTCTCCTGCTGATGTTCAGGTGTATATCAGTATGTAGTGTCTCTACTTTAAAGAGTCCTCTCCTGCTGATGTTCAGGTGTATATCAGTATGTAGTGTCTCTACTTTAAAGAGTCCTCTCCTGCTGATGTTCAGGTGTATATCAGTATGTAGTGTCTCTACTTTAAAGAGTCCTCTCCGGCTGATGTTCAGGTGTATATCAGTATGTAGTGTCTCTACTTTAAAGAGTCCTCTCCTGCTGATGTTCAGGTGCATATCAGTATGTAGTGTCTCTACTTTAAAGAGTCCTCTCCTGCTGATGTTCAGGTGTATATCAGTATGTAGTGTCTCTACTTTAAAGAGTCCTCTCCTGCTGATGTTCAGGTGTATATCAGTATGTAGTGTCTCTACTTTAAAGAGTCCTCTCCTGCTGTTGTTCAGGTGTATATCAGTATGTAGTGTCTCTATTTTAAAGAGTCCTCTCTTGCTGATGTTCAGGTGTATATCAGTATGTAGTGTCTCTACTTTAAAGAGTCCTCTCCTGCTGATGTTCAGGTGTATATCAGTGTGTAGTGTCTCTACTTTAAAGAGTCCTCTCCTGCTGATGTTCAGGTGTATATCAGTATGTAGTGTCTCTACTTTAAAGAGTCCTCTCCTGCTTGATGTTCAGGTGTATATCAGTAGTGTCTCTACTTTAAAGAGTCCTCTCCTGCTGATGTTCAGGTGTATATCAGTAGTGTCTCTACTTTAAAGAGTCCTCTCCTGCTGATGTTCAGGTGTATATCAGTAGTGTCTCTACTTTAAAGAGTCCTCTCCTGCTGATGTTCAGGTGTATATCAGTATGTAGTGTCTACTTTAAAGAGTCCTCTCCTGCTGATGTTCAGGTGTATATCAGTATGTAGTGTCTCTACTTTAAAGAGTCCTCTCCTGCTGATGTTCAGGTGTATATCAGTATGTAGTGTCTCTACTTTAAAGAGTCCTCTCCTGCTGATGTTCAGGTGTATATCAGTATGTAGTGTCTCTACATGTCTCCATGCTTTAATGTTCAAACAGCTCTTTATTGTTCTCATACTGTCTGTGCTGCAGCACCTCTTTTCACCCTCTGTCTGAAATGTGAGATGTCCTGCCCCTTATCACGTATAATATGTTGGAGCGCCAGCCAATAGAAGCACGAGTGTTACGTAGTGATGTCACTGTGTTCGTGGCAGATAAGGAATTAAACTGCACTGAACTAAATTCACACTTTTCTTAACCACATCCTCTCTTAGGTCAGTCAGGGGTTAAATGGCTTATTCCCTGAGCTGAAGGTGGTCAGATTAAAGCTCTTTTTAGAATAAATCCTCCCATTCACAGAGTTGGCAGCTTAAATTGGCCTTTAATATTTCCTAGTTATTCAACATATGATGGTGAAATAATCCCAGGCCCTAAACAGTGAGATTATAGCAGAAGAAAAGCATTAAACGGTATCACATGACGACTAACTCACACTCACCTCTGCTATTGTTAACACTTTATTTAATTATTGTTTTATGGATCTCCAGGTCTTGCTCCATGTCCCAGATTTAGATTTCCACCAATAGACCATTGCTTGTATGTGAGAGTCTCCAAGGTGTGTGTGACGCAGTGGGTTGAGCGTTGGTGTTCGGATCAGGGGGTCACAGGTTCAAACCCCACTGCAGTCAGCATGTCGTTGTGTCCCTGAGACTCTTCAGCCCAAAGTGCTCCTGTGGGGATTGCCCACAGTATTGAGTATGTAAGTCGCTTTGGATAAAAGCGTCTAACAAGTGACATGTAATGTAATTGGTTCATAAGCCTCCTAGGTGTTGTCTTGCATTTCTTCTTTTAATGTGAATTCTGGGAGATTTTGTATTTATTTGTTTACTCTAATAATCCAGGGGGACTATGTGTGGCTGGACCTTAAAACGGGTCGAGAGTTTGACGTCCCGGTGGGAGCCGTGGTCAAACTGTGCGACTCGAGACAGATCCAGGTCCTGGACGATGAAGGGAAGGTAAGACTGCAGCATTTATATAAAGATTCTCTGTTCATGTGTTACGTTTTGTTTTATAAGGAAGGAAGTTTCAGAGTTGTGGTCATTGAGACACTTTTAATGTAAACAAATGAACAAGCTTCGCTAAAATCCATCAAACTGAAGACACATGTTTTATCTACTTACCTTAAAAACCAAAACTCTTTTCCCAAATGTTTTTTAGTCATGCTTATAGAGAGGCAAAGTCACGCCCATCTACTTCCGACCCATGGGACCTTATTTCTGAAAAATAATGTATTGAAGTCAATGGAGAGAGAAAACGTATCTCTCGATCCCGTTTGAATTGTGCCACGAATTACACATATGATGTTTGTCAATTTAAACAAATAATTTCCATGTAAAAAAAGTCACATTTTGTCGTAAAACTGTTAAAATAAAAGACTAGGAAAAATACGCAACTAGAAAGACTACAAATCCCAGAGTCCCGGTCCCGCATGCTGGCTCTCACGGAACCAACTAACTCCCCTTGTGTGTATGCAGCTCTCAACGTGCCCAGACTTGGAGTGATTTTCACCTCTTTTAATACTTTCCGCCTCGTTCTGAAAGAAAGAAGTGAGATGTGTGTGTGTGGACTTGGTGTGTGGTGCGAGACGGGAGATGTTAGGTTTAGTTATGGTTTTACTCTAGTTTTGTGTTTTGATCTTGTCACTTCCTGTTTTTATTTCGAAAGTAATCTTTCCTGTCATTCCAGATCCCACATTTCCTGCCTTTGTGTGTTTCCCGCCCCTGAGATTGCTTGGCCCTGCCCTGATTGTTTTCACCTGTGCCCATCCCCCTCACCTATATATAGCCCTGGTGTTCCTTTGTTCCTTTGTCAGTTTGTTATGTTTCATGTCGTGAGCACCCAGGCCTTTTGACTCCTGATACCTACCTTGAGATTTAGACCTTTTGCCAAGTGAGTTTTTGTGTTGCTGTACAACTTAGTTTTGGCTGTTTAACTACTTTCTATTTTTTGAAAGTACGATTTAGTTTTTGTTATTAAAGAACATTCTATTTTTGGACAACTGTCTCCAAGTCCTGCTTTTGGGTCCTGCGTCCTGTGTCTCGGTTCATAACAGTTCATTGAGCGGTTTCACACAAACAAAGTGTGACTTCACAGTTTTACGACACATTTAAAAAAATGTAACTTACAAAATTATCTTTTAAATTGACGAACATCTTATGTGTAATTCGTGGCACAATTCAAACGAAAGATAATCTTTCGCTCTCCATTGACTTCAATACATACTTTTTCCGAAATAAGGTCCCATGGAGGAAAGGGAGGGACTTCTTCTCTCTATTCTTAAAGGAATCATATTGATCTTATTCTCCATCAGTAATAATAACATCCACCCACTAAGCGAATGCAATATTATGTCTAAAAAGAAATAAAAGTGGTAAAATGTAGTTTTTGAATAAATATTATAATTATTATTATTATTAGTTTCTTATATTTATTATTTATTCATTTATGTTTTATATTTATAGTTATTTGTATTCCTATAAGGTGTATTTATTTGTATTTACCTACATGTTATCATTGTTTCTTTTTAGTGTGTCTTTCAATGTAGAAAAAGGACTAATAAAATGGTAAAATAAATAGATAAGTCCCAAGAAAATGTTATTTTTTATTATTATAACTAATGAAGTGATGGCCAAAACTACAATAATTAAAATAAATGGTATTAAATAAAACCCATCCAGACTATGATCCACTCTAACCTCCTTATATCCCCCCCCCCTCTCTCAGGAGCACTGGATCTCTCCGCAGAACACCAACATCAAACCCATGCACCCGACCTCTGTGCACGGCGTGGAGGACATGATCCGCCTGGGAGACCTGAACGAAGCTGGCATCCTCCGAAACCTTTTGATCCGCTACAACGAGCGCGTCATCTACGTCAGTAATCCTCTGTTTCTCCAGAGTACACAAAGTACACACATGTCTACTGTTGTCTCTGAACATGGAGGGTCATTGGCTGCGGTCCAGAGGAGATGTTATTCGGGTTAATCTGTTTAACGTGAGGGGAAAACAATGACAGACCTTATCTCTTAATTGTTATAAATGTTTTTGTACATGCATTACCCAAAACCAGGTTACTGACTTTGAATATTCCCTGAAAAACTACAAATATTTCTTATATTCATTTCAGAAATTAGACTTGTATCTCTCTGCTGTGACAGTGGAAGCTGTCTTGGCCCTAATTGATTCTCATTCATAAACAAATGTATTGGCTGCGGTCCAGAGGAGTTTAAAGTGTTTACATCCCTGCTGGACTGAGGTCTACTGGTTTACTTATAAAGGGGAGGAGAAACCAATTAGAGACATTATCTCTTAATTGGTAGAGATGTTTTTATACATGCATTACTCAAACCGAGGTTACTGTCCTGAAAAACTAAAATATGAACCAAAGAAAGGAGAGTATTATCTCTCTGCTGTGACAGTAGGAGCTGTTTTGGTCCGTATCAATGCAGAGATGAATAATAAAGCTAAGAGTTAGAACTCGTCAAATTAATTCATAAACGATTGTATTGGCCGCAGTCCAGAGGTGTTGTTATTCGGGTTACGGCCCGTCCACACAGCGGCGTGCGTTGAAGCTTCCAACGCTTCTGCCCATTCCCTTTGAATGGGGTGACGTCACTTTTAGCCGAACTGCATCGTGGGAAGCGACGTGGAGCGTTGCTGGCGTGGCTCGCTGCAAAAGTTGAGCAATGTTCAACTTTTGACGCCTCGGCAGAAGCGTCAGCCAATCGAATCACATGCCAGTACAAGCTCTAGCCAATCAAACCGCTGCTTGTGTGTCAGGGGCGGGAGATTCATGTGATTGGTTGTTGGTCGAGTTTCAGACACGCCCGCCGGCAAGCGTCAACGCACGCCGCTGTGTGGACGGGCCGTTAATGTGTTCACATGCAGCTCCAATAATCTGCAGTTGAGTTGACTGTTTACTGGGACTATAAATAAAGAAATAAGCATGTCCTCATATCCCTGATAGACTGAGATCTACAGGTTTACTCATAAAGGGGATCAAAACAGGGATTTGAATGTGAGGAGAAACCAATTAGAGACCCTTAACTTTGGTAAGAGCAGTGATGGAGCAGATATTGGTCTTAACTTAACGGTGGATATATCCTTAAAACATATTTATGTACTTCGTTGTACTTGAGTCTCAGTCCTGTAATAGTCTTTGGTTGTTCTGTTCCCTCTCCTTGTAGACTAATTGTGGTGGAAAGGTGAGTAAAAAAGATGGTGTCACAAAAAAGGAAAAGCTAACCTGATTCTTGCAAATTTCTAACTTTTTGATCTCTGAAAATATTCATTCATATATGCAATTTTGTGATAGATTTCCCCCTTAGTTTTACTGCTTTATAATCTCAGTTATTTTCTGGAAAATGACTAAAGATTTACAAACTTTTCTTCCGACTTCCTTGAAATCAATCTGGGTTAGTGTTAGAGTATATCCGCAGTAATGAATTGCAATAATGCTTTTGAAAGTTTAAATTGAATGCACATGTTACAATGTCATGTGATTAACGCCATAGACTCTGGATTCCTTCATTCATTCTTCAATGCATAACATTTTCCTATCTGTCAAATTAGAAAGACAATACAGAAACAATCACGTCTACAGCTGTCTCGAATGATTCGGGAATATAACGGCTGATTGATTTGAGATAATCTGTCTCTAAAATGTGTGAAAGTCTTCTTGTTTTTCTCCCTGCAGACGTACACGGGCTCCATCCTGGTGGCGGTGAACCCGTACCAGCTGCTCCCGATCTACACCCCCGATCAGATCCGCCTCTACACCAACAGGAAGATCGGAGAGCTGCCGCCGCACATCTTCGCCATCGCAGACAACTGTTACTTCAACATGCAGAGGAACAACAAGGACCAGTGCTGCATCATCAGGTAAACACTCAACACGACATTTATAGAGACGTTAAACAACAACAAGGACCAGTGCTGCATCATCAGGTAAACACTCAACACGACATTTATAGAGACGTTAAACAACAACAAGGACCAGTGCTGCATCATCAGGTGAAAACACCACATTAAGCAAGAAAACACACTCTGCCAGCACTAAAAAGGCTGAGAACCACTTATGTAGAATGTATGTGTAGCGGCCAAAATCATATAGAAATAAAACAGATAATTAACTTAAAGGGGACCTATCATGCAAAATGCACCTTTGTACGTCTTTTATACATGAAGATGTGTCCCCGGTGTGTCAGGGAACTCACCAAGGGTCAGAAAACACAACCCTCTCTATTTTCCCCCATACCCAAATCTCTAAAAACGGGGCTGCAACGGATCTGATACAGACTGATCCAGATTTGAAATTGTTCTGACGTCAGAAAAGGGGAGCTCCGCCTATATGGGCAACTCTCCACCTATCAGGGGAATGGGAGGTTGCGTGGCATGGTAACAGCATGGTAACAGCATGGTAACAGCATGGTAACAGCATGGTAACAGCATGGTAACATGACCCTCGTGCCTCGCCCCCCTCCTTTGCAGGGGGGCGTGGTCAGCTGCAGCTCATTTGCCACAGAATCAGCCCTTGTGAAGACAGGGCTGGAATAGAGCAAATAGAGCGAAATGAGGCATGGCTAAAATACATGATCTGTTTGGTATTTTGAAAAAAAGACTTCACAGACATGTTTTATATAGGTATGGCCCAACAATACATTATTCAAATATAGCATGATAGGTCCACTTTAATATAACACTGCCGCTGAGGCACCAGTTAGCGGATCTTACGCAGGGCAATGATCCAAAGTCCAGACAAGAATCTCAGTTTGTGCATTTATTACATGATCAAATATCATTAACAAAGAACAATCAACAGGTTTCCTATATTCCTTTCCTAAAGCCTTTCCTTCTTTATCCTGCTTTGATCAGACTGGTAAAAAAACATGTGCTCTACTGCCTCCACCACCTGTCTCCAATATATACAATCACACCAGGTGCTCTAATCACCCAGTGCCCAAAGCGTAGAAACTACTTTCATTCACTTCAATAACTTACTTTCAACAATAACAGCAAGAAAATAAATGTTTAACTATTAAATAATATAAATCGATATATAGCTCCAACAGTATGTTTGCAGGAAACAAAATACGTTTATTTGCTACGTTTTCAATCACATGACTGAGTGTGTGACAAGTGTTCTGTGTGTGACAGCGGTGAGTCTGGAGCGGGGAAGACGGAGAGCACGAAGCTGATCCTGCAGTTCCTCGCTGCCATCAGCGGACAACACTCCTGGATCGAGCAGCAGGTCCTGGAGGCCACGCCCATCCTGGAAGGTCAGACATAAACATGCAACTCTGGAAAATACATAAAATCAGACTCAAATGATCCGAAATAGTAGATGATTTTCACCCTTCTTTAGAATTACTCTAAAGACTGCTTGTGCTGAGGTTTAAAGTTCATTAATGATTTTGGAAACAGCCGAGAGAAAACCCATAACTTCTTAAGGTTTTTTTGCATGGATTTGCAAAAACGTCTTGATTGCTTTCCAAATGTCAAAGACAGAATGTATCATCAATCATCACTTATCACTATATAAAAGTGCCTCTGCAGAACTGCTTGTACCTCCATATTTTGCTGTGTTCAGGACGTTTCTCTGAGTCTCCTTCCTATAGAAATGTAGCGACCAGGTGCCAGATTGTAAGCATGGACCCAAGAGGGAAAATGTGCACAGTGTGGATAAAAACGCAATTACAGCAAAGCTAAACACCAAGCCTGTTGAAAAAATGAGTTCATCTGGGGTTGGCTTTCATACGTTGGCGAGCACCAACTTTGAAATATGTTTTTACAAACGGCAACCAACAAATCCTATTTATTCTGACTTTTAGAATGAACTCTTAACATTAGATGTCAAAGCGTATCAATGTATTCTTAAAGACCCCTCTGTAGTTGTACTTTATATCATTAAGCCTTATCAGTAGAGCTGTACACTCTCAGACTGCTCTGTCTATGTTTCTGTTTCTCCTCACTCCCTGTTCTTTAATTCACTCAGCGTTTGGTAATGCCAAGACCATCCGTAACGACAACTCCAGTCGCTTTGGGAAGTACATCGATATCCACTTCAACAAGAGAGGAGCCATCGAAGGAGCCAAGATCGAGCAGTACCTGCTGGAGAAATCCAGAGTGTGCCGACAGGTGAGAAACGGTGTCGTGTTTTAATATGTAAAAACATCCTCAGTGGCATCTTCAGTTCTCTGATGTCTCCTCTCACTCCCCCCCGTCCTCCTACAGGCTCCGGATGAGAGGAACTACCACGTGTTTTACTGCATACTGAAGGGCATGGCTCCAGAGATGAAGGTTAAACTGGGCCTGGGTCTCGCATCTGACTACTCCTACCTCACCATGGTGAGAATATCTGAGGATTTACTGATTTATAGGGTTATTGTTGAGCTCTTATTAAAAGTAAGAACTACTCTGTTTTAAGTTTCATGTTATTTATTATCATTTGCACAATGAGGATCTGCAATCAACAATTACTTCAATATCAATTTATCTGCCTATTTTCTTTATTATTACTTTGCTTATTTAATGAACTGTTCCATTAAAAAAATATATTTTTGAAATGTAATTTATTGTATTTTTTGATAAATGCTAGATTGGTATTCAGAAGCTGCCAAATGTACTTCATGTTAAAGCTAAAGGAGATCTTATCAGTAGGGCACATTCAAATAACAAAAAAAAGCAGCTTCTTTTCCTCAATCCACTGGACTAGTTTGGCTAACAAGCTAAGTGTGCTTTTCGTCGCAGGGTAAATGCACAGCGTGTGATGGTCGGGACGATCTGAGGGATTACTCCAGCATCCTGTCGGCCATGAAGGTTCTGATGTTCACCGAGACGGAGAACTGGGAGATCTCCAAGCTGCTGGCCGCCATCCTGCACATGGGGAACCTGCGCTACGAGGGTACGAGCGTCCGCACACACACACACACACACACACACACACACACACACACACACACACACACACACACACACACACACACACACACACACACACACACACACACACACACACACACACTATTTAACTGTAACAAAGACGTGATGGGGATTCATTTGTGAGGTTTTTTCTCAGCTCGTACGTACGACAACCTGGACGCCTGCGTGGTCGTCAGATCTCCAGACCTGGTGACTGCTGCTTCACTGCTGGAGGTGTGTGTGTGTGTGTGTGTGTGTGGTGTGTGTGTGTGTGTGTGTGTGTGTGTGTGTGTGTGTGGTGTGTGTGTGTGTGTGTGTGTGTGTGTGTGTGTGTGTGTGTGTGTGTGTGTGTGTGTGTGGTCTAGCATTACTATACTTGTGGGGACCTAAATCTGTTTACACAGTTACGTGTGGGGACTCGCCTCCCTTATGGGGACAAATTGGAGGTCCCCATGAGGGGAGTCATTAAGTTTAGGGTGAAGACTTGGTTAGGTTTAGGGTAAGGTTAGGGTTAGGCATGTGTTGGTTATGGTTAAGGTTAGGATAAGTCTCCAGGAAATGCATGTAAGTCAATGTAATGTCCCCTGAAGTGATGTATACATGGTATATGTGTGTGTGTGTGTGTGTGTGTGTGTGTGTGTGTGTGTGTGTGTGTGTGTGTGTGTGTGTGTGTGTGTGTGTGTGTGTGTGTGTGTGTGTGTGTGTGTGTGTGTGTGTGTGTGTGTGTGTGTGTGTGGTGTGGTGTGTGGTGTGTGTGTGTGTGTGTGTGTGTGTGTGTGTGTGCACAGCAAGCAGTATTAAGAACATTTATGTTAGTGAAAGGACAAAAACCATGCTACAAAAATACTTGAAAACAGTAATAATAATATGCAAGTCAATCAGGGGAATGTAGTTTACCATTACATTATTATTGTATAATATATATATATATATATTATTGTTGTAGTTGGTTGAGTTGAGTTTTAAGGTTTTTTATAATTATGGATGAATCTACTGATTATTTTCTCCATTATTTGCTTGAAAAGATCTGAAAATAGTGAGATTACTCAGAGCCCAAAGTGACAGCTTTAAAATGTTTGTTCACTCAAGACCTCAGAATCAGAATACCTGTATTCGTCCCGCAGAGGGGACATGTACATTGTTACAGCAGAAAAGAGCCAAAGACAGCTTAATGTTACCTAAGAAGCATGCATACAAAGATATTAAAGATATAAACAATTATAATAAAAGAAAGTTACACAATTTACAAAAAACACATCCTGTAACAGTTCTGAGGATTTAGCAGCCAGGTGTATATTGCATTCCTCTCATGTCTCGTTGTGCTGCAGGTGGACCCGAAGGATGTGATGGTGTGTCTGACCACCAGGACTCTGATCACACGAGGGGAAAGTGTCGCTACATCGCTCAGCGTGGAGCAGGGCCTGGACGTCAGGGACGCCTTCGTCAAGGTACACGTCTGCTACCACAAGGACATCTGTGGTGGCGTCTTGATCCTTGTCTACAATTTAATAGCCACCTCTATCGGGGTTGTGGGTTTTGACGCGCCTCTCTTTGAGCTTTATTCATTGATCCACACGGTACATACAGGAGGACACATTTCTTCGCTTCATAGTAACTAAAAAGTGTATCCTTTTCCAAAGTAACAAAAGAACACGGTCAAAAGACTTTTCCGTTTCCCCGTCTATCACCCCAGCTGTGTCCTATCAATCTACCATATATAGGCATAGCCATGCACGTGATACTGACGCACATATCACAAATAATAAGTGAGCCTTAAATTAATGCATTTTAAACCATAATGTGACTCACAAAAATAGCCGATAATTTACAGTATAATCTCATTTATATTATTATTAAGCCGAACATTCAGACAATAATAACAAAAGGAAAAATGGCTCTAACAACATCTGTTATCCTGATTCATTTCATTTGTATTTTTTCATGGTATGCACAACTTAATGTATAACAATTATTTACAAAACATGTCTCTGTAAACACACCATTGTCCGAAAAGGAGCAGGGAGAAGAACATAATCTGATGTGACCTGCCCCTTTCTAAAATACAAATAAAAAATAGAAATAGATGGTCTGTCCTTCATATTTCTTTTTCACAGCCAGTATCGTAGGAAAATAAGAGAAACACAAAAACGTACAAAAAAATACTTAGTTCCCACTTGACAACAAAAAACAACACCAAAACATCACATGAACAAGGAAGAGTGCAACACCCTCATCTGACAATCAAAGCCTCTGAGGTGTGGTCTGGTATCTTGGTTAAATCAGCAAACGCATGTTCAATCATATATAATAGCTTGGATTTATATAGCGCCTTTCAAGTGACCGCTTTACAAGTAATAGGGCAAAAAAAAAATATAACAAAACAAAACTCAGACAGACAAAACAACAGATCGATTTAGGGGCCGAAAGCCTTGGCAAACAGATGGGACTTGAGGGCCCTTTTGAAGGCGTCGAGTGTGGGGCTGCCACACTGAAGGCTCTGTCCCCGTAGGTTCGCAGGTTGGTGCGGGGGGTGGTAAGCAGGCCAGAGTCTGAGGACCGCAGGTTCCGGGGTGGAGCATGTGGGCGAAGGATGTGCGATAGGTACTGGGGGGCAAGGGCATGGAGGGACTTGTAGGTGAGGAGGAGGACTTTGTAGGATATGCTAGACTTGACCGGCAACCAGTGTAGGTGGATGAGGGTGGGAGTGATGTGCTGCCACGGCTTTGTGTGCGTGAGTACCCTAGCAGCACAGTTTTGGACATACTGGAGCCTGTCCAGGGTTTTGTTGGGGACCCCGAACAGAATATAATTATTGAATTGCAGTGCATAGTAATCTCTTGTATGCATGCCAGCTGTGCACCTGAGTCAGGACTGGATTTATTTATATGCAAACAGGTGCATTAAAGCTTCCTGCCTTGATGAATTTGCCTTTTGTTGGCCGGTGCTCTGACTGATAAGCATACACTCTTTGAACAGTCTGCAGCTCAGAGACAGAAACAACAACAACAACAACACACAGAGAGGAGTGATCACATTAGGCTAAGCTCTACATATATATACACAATCAACAGATACATTTATAATGTGTGCAATTGTTGATTGTGTATATTCAGATTCCTTTTATTGTCACTACACTGAGGACAGCGAAATTCCAGGCATTCCCGATGGTGCAATCACACATAACAGACGAGTATAGTTTTGACAATACAAGCTAAAACTTTTAATATATAATATATAAAGTGACTAAATTGGACCTATGATACATTGAACAGTACGCTTACAAAACAATACGACATTACCATTCAAATACAAGAACAATACGGTCAAGGCAGTAAACGATGTAAGTAAGTTATTGCACGTGTATTTATCAGAGCAGTTGATAATTAGAAAACGAATGTGTTCTATAAAAACGGTATATATGGTTTAATATGTCCCCACAATCCCGTGGTATTCCTCGGGATTGTGGGAAACGGTATTTCGATCTCTCTGTCTGTACACACAAACTGAAAGATGGACAATAAAGTTGACTTTCCCTATAGCTGGTCCACTATCATGGCTCATACTTAAAGACGTGTTTTCTCACTGGTCACTATTTCCCAGGGGATCTACGGGCGGCTGTTTATCTGGATCGTGGATAAGATCAACGCGGCCATCTTCAGACCTCCGTCCTGCGAGAGCAACATCGTGCAGCGCTCCATCGGACTGCTGGACATCTTCGGGTTCGAGAACTTCATCGTCAACAGGTGATTTAATAATAATAATACATGTTATTTATAAAGACGCCTTTCAAGGCTCTCAAGGTCGTCGTACAAGGTAAGGTACGTTTATTTAGATTTTCAGACACAGAGGCAATTCAAAGTGCTTTACTTCCTCATTAACACTTAATACAAAGACAACAGAAAGGAACACAATAAATAAACATAATGGAATAACAGATTCATAAAAACCATGCATAAAAGAGATACAGAATAGTTTAAAACAACATTGTAAATACAGTAGGTGCTAAAACAAGTTAAAAGGCTTCTGGGTAAGCAGCTGAAAAAAGTCGTGTTTTTAGCCTCGACTTAAAGGGGACCTATCATGCAAAATGCATCAACATGTGTCCCCGGTGTGTCGGGGAACTCACGCAGCATCAGAAAATAAACCCCTCTCTCTTTTCCTCCGTACCCAAATCTCTAAAAACGGGGAACAACGGAGCTGATCCAGATTTGCGTCCGATATGACGTAATATCTGAAATGTGGACCCACGGCCCAATCAGAAACGTTGCTATCAGAAACAATGCCCGACTGTTTTGGACGTAATATGGTCGGTGTTTACATTAGCATCGCTAACACTCAGAGCTAACCTGTACTGGAGAGCATGTGTGTGAAGAAGCAGCTCGTGAACGCATCAGCAATATGACAGCAGCATAGCGAGGCAGAGGCAGGCAGACCTGGCAGCTTAAATAGAGCGGCGTGTTTAGGAGAATGTGTTTGGTTGGTTGTACGAGGGACGAGGCTCGTCACGTGGTGATGTATCATTGGGGCTCGAGTTGACTGCCTGAACTAGCTCGCAGGCTTCGCCCCATTTGTGTGATGTGATCAGGGATTTATACTGAAACCATCAATAATCCAACATGGAAATCTACTCTTTCGACCCTGATTGATATCATCAAACACTACTTACTCACTTAAACTTGTTTTAACTTCGATTCATTCAGACATGTCTTTTATCAATCTTATTTTTGAACTTTTCATTTCAACACATCGCATTAGTTGGCTTTATCACCTTTGGGCTGTTAAAAGCAGGTATTTTCACACTTCCTCCTACTCCCTCTGATTTCTCTCGACTTTAGTTTCGAGCAGCTCTGCATCAACTTCGCCAACGAGAACCTGCAGCAGTTCTTCGTGCGGCACGTCTTCAAGCTGGAGCAGGAGGAGTACAACCTGGAGGACATCAGCTGGCAGCACATCGAGTTCACCGACAACCAGGACGCTCTGGACATGATCGCCAACAAACCCATGAACATCATCTCGCTGATCGACGAGGAGAGCAAGTTCCCCAAGGTGGGAGATCTATAAAAGTGATTCTGTTAGACAAATATCCCTGGTTACCGGCTTGAGCTTCAATCTCAGGATCCATGTATCTGTGATCCTCTCCAGAATGGAAGCAGTCATCACATACAGAGCAACAACTAGTTCCTGAACAGTGTCCTTCACATGCTGATATCCAAGAGAGGGAGTTACACAGTCACAAGATGGAGGAATAGAAAGCAGTACATCCTGTCATGTTCACAATTCTCAACATTCTGACTTTTTCTCAAAATCCTGACTTTTTCCTCAAAATCTCAAAATCCTGACTTTTTCTCAAAATCCCCCCAAATCTGACTTTTTCTGAAAAAAATTGCCTTTTTCAACAAAACAAATGCCTTTTTCTGAAAAAAACGTGGTGCCAGATATGTAATTGCACCTCATCAATGTATCGTTGGTGCTCGAGTTGACTGCCTGATCTAGCTTCTCCCTATTTGTTACTATTTTTGAATATTTCTACAAACCTAATAATGATTTGGTTGAGTCAGGAGATTAATCATGAACGTAAATTATATTGTTATTTATTGTTCAAACGAGCTCCACCTTTAAGCTCCACTGTCCCGAAATGTACACCCGATGGACACACGAATATGGAATTGTGAATTTTGCACGAAGATGGCCCCGAACCACACATGAAGGGAACATTGACATTACATTTAAGACATACAACTGAGTTTTTCTGAAAAAAATCTGAGGTTTTCTCAAAATTCTGACTTTTTCTCAAAATCCCCCAAAAATCTGACTTTGTCTAAAAAAATCTGACTTTTTCTCAAAATTCAAAAAAATCTGACTTTTTCTCAAAATTCAAAAAAATCTGACTTTTTCTCAAAAATCTAAAAAATCTGACTTTTTCAAAAAAAATCGTACTTTTTCTCAAAATCTCAAAATTCGTACTTTTTCTGAATACTTTAAAATGTTAATAATCACTGGTCACTGGCTTGAGCTTCAGTCTCAGGATCCATGTATCTGTGATCCTCTCCAGAATGGAAGCAGTCATCACATACAGAGCATCAACTAGTTCCTGAACAGTGTCCTTCACATGCTGATATCCAAGAGAGGGAGTTACACAGTCATAAGATGGAGGAATAGAAAGCAGTATTCAATGTTTACTTCAGATTAGCTCCACGTCAGAAATGAGCATGCTTGTCATATGTCTCTCTCCATAGAGGCTGAATCATCATGTTAATCACATAGCTATCATACGCCTCAAACAGTCCTGATGCTCTTCTAGGTAATCACACATCCTGTCATGTTCACAGCTACAGTTGGGATACCTTTGGTATCATGTTACTCTCATATTGGAAGAGGACATTCAGTGTTTTCCCGATATGTTGAGTAGGGATGCTCATTTAATCAACAATGACAGCATTGATTTGAAATCCTTTGTCTTGTTTTCAGGGTACTGATGCCACGATGCTGTACAAACTGAACTCGCAGCACAAGCTGAACTATAACTACATCCCTCCCAAAAACAGCTACGCCACTCAGTTTGGAATCCAACACTTCGCTGGGGTCGTGAACTACGAGACCAGAGGTTCGTTCTGTTTCTGAGTCACTTTGTTATTCTTTATTGTTTTGTTGCATTCTTTATTTGGGGTCACATTTATATTAAAAGTACAGTTTTGCAAATCACATTTCTTTAGTGACCCGAAAATAGCAAATTAAATACAGAACAACATTTGTAAAATAAAAACAGGGTGTCCGCGGGGTCTTAGAAAGTATTAAAAGTTGATAAATCAATGTAGCGAAAATGAAGGCTATTAAAAAGTATTAAAGGATATTTTCCAAGGTGTTACATTTTGTAGCTTGTTTTCAATAAGTATATAAATGGTCCAAAGAGGTTGTGTTCTACAGTCTGCCTGAATGTAATCATGGCGTAGGTGTGTAGTGTGATTCTGTGGAGTTTATTTATGGCATCTCGTTGGGTTTGACGTCATCTGAACAGGACATCGCACGCTCACTGCTTGATAGCGCGAAGGTCCGTTTACGCCGGTTGCTAAGCAACATCGTTATGGGGAAATGCAAGTCTGCGTCCAAATGGTTGGAAGATAAGGAGGAAGGACAATCAATACTGTATATAGTCAATGTGAGGTAAAGTGTGTCGCCAAGGTAACCGGTTACAACTCAAAGTGGCGATGAGGTCTTAAAATGTATGGAAAGGGTCCAAAGATCCAAAAATACTTAAAGTTCTACAAATATTTAAAGTTCCAAAAATACCGTAAATTCAAAACATACTTAAAGTTACAAAAATACTTAAAGTTCCAAATATACTTAAAGATCCAAAAATACTTATAGTTCCGAAAATACCGTAAATTCCAAATATATTTAGAGTTCCAAAAATACCGTAAATTCCAAAAATACTTAAAGTTCCAAAAATACTTAAATTTCCAAAAATACCATAAATTCCAAAAATACTTAAAGTTCCAAAAATACTTAAAGTTCCAAATATACTTAAAGATCCAAAAATACTTATAGTTTCGAAAATACCGTAAATTCCAAAAATACTTAAAGTTCCAAAAATACCGTAAATTCTAAAAATACTTACAGTTCCAAAAATACTTAAAGTTCCAAAAATACTTAAAGATCCAAAAATACTTAAAGTTCCAAAAATACTTAAAGTTCCAAAAATACTGTAAATTCCAAAAATACTTAAAGTTCCAAAAATACCGCAAATGGTTGGAAGATAAGGAGGAAGGACAATCAATACTGTATATAGTCAATGTGAGGTAAAGTGTGTCGCCAAGGTAACCGGTTACAACTCCAAGTGGCGATGAGGTCTTAAAATGTATGGAAAGCGTCTTAAAAGGAATTACATCTGACTTCAGGATTCCTGCGTATACCCTGTAAATAAAAATGAAAAAGTACATAGGGGTTGTTTGAAATGACAAATATCTACACATAGCATTTCAGTCAGACACGTGTTTCTTTGATATGTTTGTTAGGAGCAGCATAGAGTTTGAGGCAGAGGCAGCAGATCTGGAAGTTGAAATAGAGCGTCAGGCTTAGGAGAATGTAAAAGGGACGAGACGTGTAAGAGAGATAAGATAAGATAGGACTTTATTTATCCTGAAGGAAATTGTTGTGCCAGAGTTACAAAGAAACAATGAACACAGCAAATTAATAATACGACTGTACACTAACAGTGCAGTAAAAAGAGCAATTAAATATCTACGGGACACATAGACGTCCCAAAACGTGGTGCCAGATACGTAATTGCACGTCATCAATGTATCGTTGGTGCTCGAGCTGACTGATCTAGCTTCTCCCCATTTGTTACTATTTTTGAATATTTCTACAAACCTAATAATGATTTGGTTGAGTCAGGAGATTAATCATGAACGTAAATGATATTGTTATTTATTGTTTAAACGATGAATTAAACAGTATATATATTTGGTTTTGTATAACAGTCACATGGGACATTCTTCTTGATTAAATACTTTGATTAAACTTAATTTGTATGTATTTTTGGTTTAATCCTTTATTCAAACAGGTATTCTTGTCCAGATCAGGATCTCTTTTTCAAAAGAAACCTGTGCACAAGATACAGAAATAAATAAACACAAATAAAATCCAAACACAAAGAATAATGACATGACTTTTCCCAATCATTTGTGTCCACTTTAATTGTCTTCTCCATTGTTGCTTTTACCTCAAATTGTACGGCGTCCTTGGGTGTCATGAAAGGCGCCTTAAATTACATATTATTGCTTTAAGAGATAAAAAGATGATATTTCCTCTGGTCTATCTCGCCCTAGGGATGCAGACAGATGTTTTAGAACTATGGACTTATGGACTATAAATAAAAAGGAAACCATTAATTATTTTGTTTTGAATGATCCAGGTTTTCTGGAGAAAAACCGAGACAGCCTCCACACGGACATCATCCAGCTGGTCCACTCGTCCAAGAACAAGTTCATCAAACAGATCTTCCAGGCGGACGTGGCCATGGTGAGACCAAAAACACTCGCAACAATGAATACATGAATACTACATGAATATCTGTAGTGGTGGCAGGGCTGGGCAATATGGAGAAAAATCAAATATCAGCATTGAGACGATATCGTAGTGTTGACTAACGAGTAGGGATGTAACGATATATCGAATATCGCGATATCGTGGTAAATAAATGTCTCAATACCGTCGTGAGACTGACAAAATATACCGCGATTTAAAAAAAAAAATGTAAACCTTTATTCAACCAGATGGGAGACCTGTCCAACATGGCAGCAAGTAGGTTACAACATGAACATAAAACAACAGATAACACAAAAGGACATCGTATTTACAGAGCTACATGTACACACCTAGAGACATGGACAAGTACCAACAGTATATTTATATCTCTGTCAATAAGCCTCACCTTCTTGGCAACAACTGTATTGTTTTTGAAGTGGTGGAGAGACAATGCACAGTTTGACCCACTGCTGTCACCCAGGGCCAAAGCATATCTCTCTGTCCCAGCAACATCAGTACCAAGCAAGAGAGTTGTTTCCACAGCAGGGGATTTTGCAAACGCCCAAACATCCCAGCTTCTACCTGGAAATGTGGACATGCTCATATTCCTAAAGGATAACCTTGATGACGCTGAGTGAGTGAGTGAGTGAGTGAGTGAGCGAGCGAGCGAGCGAGTGAGTGAGTGAGTGAGTGAGTGAGTGAGTGAGTGAGTGAGTGAGTGAGTGAGTGAGTGAGTGAGTGAGTGAGTTAGAGGTGAGTGAGTGAGTGAGTGAGTTGAGTGAGTGAGTTAGAGGTGAGTGAGTGAGTGAGTGAGTGAGTGAGTGAGTGAGTGAGTTAGAGGTGAGTGAGTGAGGGAGTGAGTGAGTGAGTGAGTGAGTGAGTGAGTGAGTGAGTGAGTGAGTGAGGTGAGCGAGTGTGCGAGTGAGTGAGTGAGTGAGTGAGTGAGTGAGTGAGTGAGTGAGTTAGAGTTGAGTTACTTGAAAAACTAAAGTGAAACTTGATTTATTCTATTGCAGGGTCTGATTATTATATTGTTGACACTTTAAAATACTATTATCCTACTAAAATGCTGCACAAATCAGATTAATTATTTAATAAAGAAAAAAATTAAAGTAATAAAAAAAAATTACAAAATAAATTCACATTTTTTTCCTTTATTTTTCAATATCGCCATAAATATCGTACCGTCGACTTTTTATCGCGATATTATCGTACCGTGAGTTTTTGGTATCGTTACATCCCTACTGTGGTGGTGCAGGGATGAGTCTACACGTCAGGATCCCATCATCTTGTAGTCAACAGTTTTATGTGATTTGTGATAAATACTCATCAGTAATGTGACTTTAATGGCTAAGCAAGTAAAGGCATTTAATATAAGAGCTAGAAACATCAGGCTTTAAAACCAGGAAAAGACAAATATACGATATGTAAGACGATATAAAGTCCCTTATCGCCCAGCTCTATGTGTTGGACTGATACATTTCACCTCCTTTTGGACTTGTGTTATGACTTTTAAGGTGTTTCTATATCCAAATGATAATTTCACCGGTGACTTCCACCTCTCTTTATCATTTTCTTTCTTTAACTAACGTCTCCAATCTTCCTCTCCTTTCTGATTCCGTTCTTCTTCTCTTACTTCAGTTTCTGTGCGGCTATCAGCAGCCCAGCACTTCCATTCCTAAGGTAATCAACAGCCTTTACTCACTAAATAAAACCCTTTGTGTGTTCACTTAATCTAAATACAAATCCACAAGACCCCCCCCCCCCCCCCCCCCTGCTTTCCACAAGCTATTCTTCTTATTCTACCGGCTGTTGTAGCAGAAGTCAGAGGAGCACCGTCTTATTTAATGAGATTTACCATTTAAAGGTGGGGTAGGTCATTTTGGAGAAACCAGCTCGAGATCGCTAGAATTAGAAAATACACAGCCGGAAGAAATCTGCCACTTCCTCACAGAGCCCCTCCTCCAACACACACGAACGCGCACATGACCAATGAGGGCACGAGATAAGTTTGTGCCCAGATGGAAGGCTGACAGGCAGGTAGGCCATCCAGTTACTTTAGCCGGCTCAGATGATTGGTCGTGCTTTTTACAGCGCCACGGCTTCCAGAGATTAAAAATTTTTATGGATTTATTGTCAAAGCACTTCAGATATTCATTGCTATCGGGATGTTAAGAGCATTCCTTGGAATATAACAACAAGTGTATCTCGAGCCGGTTTCTCACACTTACCTACCCCACCTTTAAGTTAACGAGAATGTAACCAGCAAACTCTCTGACAGACACTTCTCAATTCTATTTCAGTCAGACAACTCACGTGTTTCTTAATATGTTTATTAGAAGCAGCATATAGTTTGAGTTTCTATCTCGGGCCTCATCACTCCACAGATTTACAAAGAACATTGAGTGATGATTAGATAACTAACCCCCGAGCCTACAGGTGGAGCTGGGGTGGTGGGGGGGGGCAGGCGAGCAGCGGCAACATGAGACACAGCAGCAGTAGCAATGTGAACGCAATAGCAGGGCACGAACGCAGCAGCCGCAATAGCGAGGCAGAGGCAGGAAGACCTGGCAGCTTAAATAGAGCGGCATGTTTAGGAGAATGTGTTTGGTTGGTTGTAAGAGGGACGAGGTGCGTCACGTGGTAATGTATCATTGGTGCTCGAGTTGACTGCCTGAACTAGCTCGCAGGCTTCGCCCCGTTTATTGCTTTTTGACAGGACATTTTTAAGCAGACCGTCCTGTCATGATTTCCATGTTGGCTTCTCTGAAACTTTAAAACAGTGAAGACAGCTGTCAGAGATGCTGTGTTTTAGTAGAAATAATGTGTTTCCATTGTGTGCCACTGTGCTTAGTGTTTATCCACATGCTGCAAAGTACTGACCGAATGTCGCTTAAATATATTCTGAAATCTCTACAAATGCAACTTAAGTAAAGTTAAAGGAACAAAGTTAAAAAACTGATAAATTAAACGGATATTTCAGAACTTTTGACAGGTCTGTGAGTCTGTCTTTGTCATGAAGCATCGATAATGAAAATCTAAATTAATTGGAAAGGTAAACAGAGTATAGACGGAAGTTAAAATAATAACTATACAGTCCAGATTTATGACTTTCCAAGACAATCGTAAGGAATAATTGTATTAATTTATTGTTAAAAATGTTTTCGCTTGACTTTGTTTCTCACATTTTAAGTATTTTATCTTATTTTTGTCAGGATTTATTTAATTGAAAAATGCTTATATACAGTGACAGTACTGTTACATATACTTGTTATTTATAAACATATTAATGATACATCAACTTAAATATACGTATAATACAATTACATATTGACTAAATATGTACACATACCCTAAGAGGCATTTGTAACTTAACTTAGGGTTAAAACAAATATAGATTTAATGGTATGGATATCTTCCAAATACAATTTACAAAACATATCACCATCTCTTTCAGTTTCAGAGGAGTGAAAACCCCAAAAATTCAGCACCGTATGCTCATGTGAGTTGCAGTACCTCACCATGTGTTCATACACTGAATCTGGTTCTATTGTCATTAACGTGTGTGTGTGTGTGTGTGTGTGTGTGTGTGTGTGTGTGTGTGTGTGTGTGGTGTGTGTGTGTGTGTGTGTGTGTGTGTGTGTGTGTGTGTGTGTGGTGTGGGTGTGTGTGTGTGTGTGTGTGTGTGTGTGTGTGTGTGTGTGTGTGTGTGTGTGTGTGTGTGTGTGTGTGTGTTGTGTGTGTGTGTGTGGTGTGTGTGTGTGTGTTGTGTGTTGTGTGTGTGTGTGTGTGTGTGTGCAGGGTGCAGAGACGAGGAAGCGCTCCCCCACTCTGAGTAGTCAGTTCAAGCGCTCTCTGGAGATGTTGATGAGGACGCTCAGCGTGTGTCAGCCGTTCTTCGTGCGCTGCATCAAACCCAACGAGTTCAAAAAACCCATGGTAAATATTCATTTTCACAAAATACTGCACTGTCTATAGCTCGGGTTCAAGCAGAGACGGCACAAGTACACACATCCTTTACTCAAGTAGAAGTACAGATACTCGTGTTTAAAAATACTCTGGTGAGAGTAGAAGTACTGACTAAACTTCTTTACTCAAGTCAAAGTAAAGAGGCTTTGAATGTACTTCAGTAAAAAGTACCCATAACTAGCAGCTGCTTTAAAGAGTACCTGACCTCCCTTTATATTAATAGAACAATAATGTCATTGTTAGCTAATGAATGTTTCCATGCTGAACAACGGCAACATGACAACGTTTCCATTGGTCCCTCTTCTTTAGAGAAGACCAGGAAATGATGGATACACGGATCGTGTTCAAATCAATAGGCACGTAATGACTCTAAATAATAATGTTTGTTTCTTCCAGTTGTTCGACAGAGAGCTGTGTATCCGTCAGCTGAGATACTCCGGCATGATGGAGACGATCCGGATCCGACGGGCCGGATATCCCATCAGATACACATTCGTGGAGTTTGTGGATCGATACCGAGTCCTGATGCCCGGAGTCAAACCGGCCAACATACAGGTCAATAACACTGCCAGCTGTTCAATTCTGCTCTTCTTACAAATAACAGTATCTGAAGTGCCACCTATAGAAGTCTTTACATCACATTTCCGTGGTTCTCTCTCCCTCCAGGAGGATCTTCGAGGAACGTGTCAGCAGATCGTTCTTGCCCGGCTCGGGAAAGACGGAGACTGGCAGATCGGGAAGACCAAGATCTTCCTAAAGGTTCGTGTATTTATATTTAAGTAAGTAAATATTTGTGTGTCTGGAATCTGAATCCTCAACAGTGCTTTTTGTTTTAATCAAAAAAGGCAAATCTGACCTTGTGTATACCAGATAACTTGACTTAGGTTTGCTTCACATTTGTTCTGTGGTGATAACACCGTAGGGCAACTCATTTACATAAAACATTAAGGCGATAGTTAAGTTTTATGGCTCATGAACTACAATGAAAACACAAAAAAGACCTTTCGGTTTTGGGCTCTCAGACTGTGGTCCCTCCTCTTTATTTGTCTCTGCTTGTTTCAGGATCACCACGACATGCAGCTGGAGATCGAGAGAGACAAAGGCATCACTGACAAAGTCATCCTGATCCAGAAGGCTGTGAGAGGACTCAAAGAGAGGTGAATATATGTGGGAATTAGTGGATCTAGTGTCCTGAAAAACATTCCTTGAGTAAACGTTCTCTGTTTAAAATCTCCTCTCTCTCCTCTTCTCTCGCAGGACTCACTATCTCCGTCTGAGGAGTGCTGTGACTTTGATCCAGAGGCTTTGGAGGGGCTATCAGTGCAGGAAGAACTTCAAAAAAGTGAGTCGTTCAGACGTCACATGTGTAGTTTTTCAGAATCAGAATACCTTTATTAGTCCCACAGCAGAAAAGAGCTTAATGTTAACCAAGAAGCAAGCATAACAAAATATATATAAATATTAAAGATTACAAAAATTACAATTTACAAAAAACACATACTGTAACAGTTCTGAAGATAAAGCATATATCTAGCATATATATATATACATCTCGGTTCCAGTAGGATATTTATGTTTAAACAAACTACATATTCACACTTTAGGGCCCCTACATTTTTTATGCTTTTTTATTGAAGACACATAGACAGGGGTGCATAAGTGGTACGCAGGTACGCATGCGCGGCAACAATCTGAAATGCGTACCAGCACTTGTGTCACAAAGCGCATTTGCTTACCGACGTACTTGTGAAGCTTTTCCAGAAGGCGGTTAGATCACCGGACGACAGAGTCGGTCTCCGTGTGCACAGACAGGGCTGCTGTTAACGTCGGTGTGTACAGCAGCACTGCGCTAAAACAGCTGATCACAACGATCACACGCTCTGTGGTCACGAAGCTCTGCACTCCACTACCACCCCCCCGTTGACATTCGCGATACAGAGGGCTTCATGGGAACTTTGAGGGGAGCCAGAAGTTGGAGTACCAAACACTGACTCCAGGTACTCATCTGTGTGCACCCCTGCACATAGAAAATACATTTGGTACATTGATAGGAACCACAGCTACAAATGTTCAACAGTTCAAAGCTACTAGTGTTCAGCTTAGTCTCTACTAGGGATGTAACGATATATAGAATATCGCGATATCGCGGTAAATAAATGTCTCAATACCGTCGTGAGACTGACAAAATCTACCGCAATTTTTAAATTATTATTATTTTATTTTTAAACACTTTTTAAACACTTTTTTTAAACCTTTATTTAACCAGATGGTCCCATTGAGATCATCAATCTCTTTTTCAAGAGAGACCTGTCCAACATGGCAGCAAGTAGGTTACAACATGAACATAAAACAACAGATAACATAAAAGGACATCGTATTTACAGAGCTACATGTACACACCTAGAGACATTGACAAGTACCAACAGTATATATCTCGCCCTGTTAATAAGCCTCACCTTCTTGGCAACAACTGTATTGTTTTTGAAGTGGTGGAGAGACAATGACCCACTGCTGTCACCCATGGCCAACGCATATCTCTCTGTCCCAGCAACATCAGTACCAAGCAAGAGAGTTGTTTCCACAGCAGGGGATTTTGCAAACGCCCAAACATCCCAGCTTCTACCTGGAAATGTGGACATGCTCATATTCCTAAAAGATCACCTTGATGACGCTGAGTGAGTGAGTGAGTGAGTGTGAGTGGTGAGTGAGTGAGTGAGTGAGTGAGTGAGTGAGTGAGTGAGGGTGAGTGAGTGAGTGATGTGAGTGAGTGATTGGTGAGTGAGTGAGTGAGTGAGTGGAGTGAGTGCAAGTGAGTGAGTGAGTGAGTGAGTGAGTGAGTGAGTGAGTGAGTGAGTGAGTGAGTGAGTGAGTGAGTGAGTGAGTGGAGTGAGTGAGTGAGTGATGTGAGTGAGTGAGGTGAGTGAGTGAGTGAGTGAGTGAGTGAGTGACGTGAGTGAGTGAGTGAGTGAGTGAGTGAGTGGAATGAGTTAGGTGAGTGAGTGAGTGAGTGAGTTAGAGGTGAGTTACTTGAAAAACTAAAGTGAAACTTGATTTATTCTATTGCAGGGTCTGATTATTATATTGTTGACACTTTAAAATACTACTATCCTATAAAATGCTGTACAAATCAGATTTATTATTTAATAAAGAAAAAAAATTCAAGTGAAAAAAAAAAGAAATTACAAAAAAAATTCACATTTTTTTTCTTTATTTTTCAATATCGCGATAAATATCGTACCGTGAGTTTTTGGTATCGTTACATCCCTAGTCTCTACTATTGTCATGGACGCGGGAAGGGGGGTTCTGAGGGGGCCGCAGCACCCCCATCTGCGAGGCTCCACTAGCATCCGCAACTCTCCGCACCCCCAAACGCGGCGCACCTACAGTGTCAGCACGCCACAGTTTCACCGCTCCGAGGCTCCACTAGCACCCCCCCCGCCCCAGCGCGTAACCGTTTCGCCGCGCAGCGCACCCCCAACTCTGACTGACTTCCCGCATCCCTGACTATTGTACATACATATTTGATCTTCACTTGATCTTCAATATTTAAACCACAATTGCAACCAAAACAGACCAAGTAACCAACATGTAAGAGAGTGTTGTACAGACTCACAGGACAAAACTAAATCAATTATAACAAAACAGTACAAAGACAAAAACTAAATATATAATAAAGAGGGAAAGGGGGGGCGGGGAGTGTCCATTAATAAGTAATAGAAGGAGCTTTTTGGGATTTCCAGTGAAGAAGAATAAGAAGTCGTCTTGCCCTTTACTCCCGTCTTCACCCTTACATCTTTAAAACCCTCTCCTCTCTCCAGATGCAGTCTGGTTTCCTGCGCCTCCAGGCCGTCTTCAGGTCCAGGAAGTACTTCAGGAGCTACCGGAGGACGCGTCTGCGTGTGATTCTGATCCAGGCTCGGTGTCGAGGGTTTCTGATCCGACAGACGTTCTGGAGGCGTCTCCGTGCCGTTCTGACGCTGCAGGCGTTCACCAGAGGGATGATCGCTCGACGCCTCTGCCAGCGGCTCAGGGCAGAGGTAAACCCCGAACACTATGTTCACTACTGCTACCTGTACCATGTGGCCGAGGTGCCAAAGAGAGGGGTCTTCTGGTGTTGAGGGGGGAGAAGTTGTGACGTGTGACACATATTTAATTTAATCAAAATAATCTGTAAAGCATTTTAGGGCTGTAGCGATTGTAATATTTCTATTCTTTTTGATTATTTTTATAACGTCATCACTCAACAAAAAGTCATAAATAAATTAGATTAAATCCCTTTTGAATGACTTGAATGTATCCTGCATGCCTCCTTTTGTGCGTGGCTAGATGGACGCTGGGAAAATGTTGACTTTTAAAAGACAAAACCCCAACATATATGGATTAAAGATTAAACCCTGATCACTATGTTTACTACTGCTACCTGTAGCATGTGGCCGAGGTGCCAAAGAGAGGGGCCTTCTGGTGTTAAAAGGGGGAGAAGTTGTGACGTGTGACACAAATAGTCACAGAGATAATCTGTAAAGAATTATAAGGCTGTACTGAATTTTTTTCATTCAAAGCTTCGATTGAGGTTTTTTAATCACACGTCAGAAAGTTGACACCTTTCTCATGTCTGTATGCAAAAATGGGAAGCTTTAGCTTAGCTTAGCATAAAGACTGAAGAATAAACAGTTAGCCTGGCTCTATCCACATTTTAAACAATACATCTACCTGCACCTCTGTGTAGTTGGTAGTGTTCTGCACACATGGCCAATCTCTGTGCAAAGTGAGCATAATGTTGCATTGCCTGCCGGTTTTAATCGCTGTCAGACTATTTTAGTTTGCCACGTACTGAGGCCTTAAGTCTAATCACTGCCTCCAGGAAAACCGAGTGATGTTGAGAGTCTGTCATGTGATCCTGGCCTAAAATACGTCACCTTAAAACCTTCTTTTCTACTTTGTTTTGTGTGAGGGAATAATTTTGTCTTACTCCTAGATATTTAACCTTATTGCCTGTTGACGTTAATAACCAACCAATATTCTGTTATCTCCTTTAAGGAATGTGCTCCAGCACTTAAGTGTCAGTGTTATGGCCTGATGGGGGGGTTTACGACTATGAGAACGCTGGCTTCTAAACACCACTGACAAGTGATTGAGTATTTCTAGTTGGGGGATATCTCCTGTAGCTCCAGAGATGTTTACGCCTCCCCCAATATGCTGATTAACTCTCTGTAAACTAGTTAAAAGGTCTATCGAGAGATAGGCTGATCAGAATTGACATGACAACCCACCCGTGCAGTCAGAACCTTTTGCTGCTGTGTCTTGTGATATGAATTCTCCGGCCGTTGACTTGTAATAAACCACCAGTGTTTGACATCAAAGCTCCAACTCTCCTCGTGTCTCCTTCCCTTACATTCTGAAATGAATTTGTTTGAATGTGGCTGCAGGTCTCGTGATATTTGTAAATGTTTGGGAGCTTTTTTTTTTGTGAAATGCTTTTTTTCTCTTCCTGCCCTGAAAGAAATGTTGAATAAATATTGTCGCTTGTAAATCTTTGTTTAATGTCAGTTTGTTATCAGCTTCATGAGATATTAAATAGCTTTGTGGAGAACTAACAGATAATATTCCTGAGCAAGTCTGCAGCTCCAGTGACTCGACGAGGAAGAAGTTAAGTGGCTGGAAGTTAGAGAAATTCAGACTAGAAATACAAATCTAATGCGTTTAGCTTTAAAGAATAGTCCTGTTTCCACCTGTAATGTCTCCCTTCAGTTCCTCTGCTCTAGTTTTTACCAGAAAAGTTTACAATCTGACGGAATAGATGCTAATCAGTGTAACTTCCTGTTTCCTCTCCGCAGCTGCAGCGCCGCCTGGAGGCCGAGAAGCAGCGTCTTTTCGAGGAGGAGCGTCTGAGGAACCAGATGACGGCACGCCGGGCGAAGGTGGAGGCGGAGAGGAACCACCAGGAGAGACTGGTGGTGATCGCCCAGCAGCAGGAGGAGAGAGAGAGGGAGGAGAGGGAGGAGACCAGGAGGCAGAAGGAGCGTCTGGAGCAGATGGAGAGGGAGAAGGAGCAGCCGGTGGATCACTCAGACATGGTGGACAGGATGTTCGGGTTCCTGGGAAACTCTGGGCCGCTGCCCAATCAGGAGGGACGAGCACCCGCTGGATTTGAAGTATAACTGTGTTCCAATACTTTTAATAACATCCTATTTAGTGTGCGAGGATAGATGAAGTACGTCGTATGTTAGATGCTTAAAATACCAGGATGTTAAACTGCATCTGGATAACTTTAGACACTCACCAGCTTTCTTGGTATTCCTTTTCCTCTTGTGCCAACATCAAGTCAACACTAATATAACACCTGCTGGATTTGAGGTATAACTGCGTTCCAATACTTTCACTAACGTCCTATTTATCATGCAAGGATAAATGAAGTACGTCCTAATGCGTCGTATGTTAAACTGCATCTGGATACATTTAGACACTCAAAATCATGTCCTTGTACCTTTTTAAAAAAACAGTTTTACATTAGGACAGATAGGATAAATTAAGTACGTCCTAACGGCCCGTCCTAACGGCCCGTCCACACAGCGGCGTGCGTTGACGCTTGCCGGCGGGCGTGTCTGACACTCGACCAACAACCAATCACATGAATGAGGCGTCAAAAGTTGAACATTGCTCAACTTTTGAAGCGAGCAACGCCAGCAACGCTCCACGTCGCTTCCCAAAATGCAGTTCGGCTAAAAGTGACGTCACCCCCATTCAAAGTGAATGGGCAGAAGCGTTGGAAGCTTCAACGCACGCCGCTGTGTGGACGGGCCGTAATACATAGTATGTTAAATGCAAAACATACCAGGATGTAATACTGCATCTGCATAACTTTAGACACTCACCAGCTTTCTTGGTATTCCTTTTCCTCTTGTTCCAACATCAAGTCAAAGTTGTAATTTGGTCAGGACTTTACAACAAAATACCTGCAACAGTAATATAACACCTGCTGGATTTGAAGTATAACTGCGTCCCAATACTTTTACTTACATGGTGGCGGTGGTGGCGAAGTCCATAGGGACTTGGCTTGGCAAGAAAAAACCCGGAAAGACCAAGTGCTACCGAGGTGTCCCTGAGCAAGGCACCGTTCCCTACACTGCTCCCCGGGCGCCGTTCACAATGGCAGCCCACTGCTCCTAACACTAGGATGGGTCAAATGCAGAGGTTTCGTTACATGGTACCTGCTCTACGTAATGACAATAAGTTGAATCTTGTGTGCACGACTGTTTCCTATATTGCGTTGTTGTTATGGCTAATTAGCAGATGTTAGCATGCTGCTGAACATCGTTAGCATTGGACTTGTAGCTTCATCTTTAGTTATGATTCTGTAGAAAACGCGTTGCACATATTAACGTCTTTCTTCTGTTCTCCTCCCGCTCAGGACTTGGAGAACAACCCTCAGGGTGATGAAGCTGAAGAGGAGGTGATGAATGAAGCCCGGCCGCTGCCTGATGAGGAAGATGAAGATCTGTCCGAGTACAAGTTCTCCAAGTTTGCAGCGACGTACTTCCAGGGAATTTCCACTTACACCTACATCAGACGAGCTCTGAAACAACCTCTGCTGTTCCACGAGGACGAAGGAGACCAGCTGGTGAGAAACAGAAAACCCTTAACTCTCCACTTAGGTATTTCACTGAGGATGCTCATCTACTCAGTGGATGACTTTAGTTTATGGAAAATATGCTAATGCTTAAAACACAATGTAGACATGATTAATTCCAATTAAAGCAGATAGCAAACACCTTTAGGTATCCGTGCTAAGAAGACATATAAGTGCATCGACTCAAGTGCTTTACTTAAGGTCAAATTTGAGGTATTTCCTAATGTTTATACTTTTACTGCACGTTTTACTCCATTTGTCATTAGTTACTTTACAGTCTGCAGTTATTGATCCACTTCCTGTCCAGTGAGAACTATTTATCTCCTGCTAATTTTGAATAATTGTATTATACACTGAATGAGGAAGTACTCTTTTATTTCTCCTTCCTCTTAACCTTAAGAAAGTCTTTAAAAGCCTCTTGGATGCATCGTCACAAAGCTGAAAACTGGACTGTTTTTCTGAGAAACTCATGAAAGAAACGAGGTTCTCCCAGGGACAAAGCTTCAACACGTCAAATAGAATAAGATGCAGTGTAATATATGTTGGATTCGCTCAGGTGTGGCAGGAAACACTACCACTTTGTCAGAACCTTCCAATAAACACAGAGGCAGCTTTGTACAAAATATAGGACAATCTTTATTTTAACAACACAGTTAATTGGTAAGAGGAGAGGAGAGAACAAGAGGAAGCGAGTCCACGGGGCACCAGAAACCCCCACTAGACTGTGGAGTCCACTTTTAAATACACTTCAGCTGTCACGGTTTGAGTGAAGGAAGCAGGACCCAAATGCAGATAACTCTAATAAACCTTTATTTCAAGAATAATGAAACTAACATAGACAAACCAGAACACTCACCGGTGAACTCCGTCACCAACAAAAGACGAACCGACAAAGACAGACAGAAAAACCAGAACTTAAATACACACAAGACTAATCATACAAACAAGACACAGGTGAGGAGGGAGGAGAAAACACAGGGACACCAGGTGAACACAATCGGGTAATCAGACACACCAGGGAAACTAACGACAGGGAACCACAGACAGATCTAAACAAGACAAGACACAACGCAGACAGAAAATCAAAGACAGATCTAGACAAGACACAACGCAGACAGAAAACCAAAGACAGATCTAGACAAGACACAACGCATACAGAAAACCAAAGACAGATCTAGACAAGACACAACGCAGACAGAAAACCAAAGACAGATCTAGACAAGACACAACACAAGACAGACAGAAAACCAAAGACAGATCTAGACAAGACAAGACACAACGCAGACAGAAAACCAAAGACAGATCTAGACAAGACACAACGCATACAGAAAACCAAAGACAGATCTAGACAAGACACAACGCAGACAGAAAACCAAAGACAGATCTAGACAAGACACAACGCAGACAGAAAACCAAAGACAGATCTAGACAAGACACAACGCAGACAGAAAACCAAAGACAGATCTAGACAAGACAAAACACAAGACAGACAGAAAACCAAAGACAGATCTAGACAAGACACAACGCAGACAGAAAACCAAAGACAGATCTAGACAAGACACAAGACAGACAGAAAACCAAAGACAGATCTAGACAAGACACAACACAACACAGACAGATCGTGACATTACATGATAATCGTGACATCAGCAGGGCTAGTTTTACTAGCGTTTAACGCGGCACACCACACCAAGAACACGGCATGCAAACACCCTCTGCCGGAGGCACACAACTAGGCAAAATGAACACACACAGCACACACACACTGCAATGACCCAACCAACAATTTAGGGCGAGAGCTCCAATTCGTGGTAGCCTCTCCCCACTGCTCTCCTTCCATACACTGTAAAATGCTTCTAAAATCAGACATACAACAATATAAATGGGTGTACGTAACTCGTTCAGGCAAACTACCTAACATCATATATAAAGTAGTTTTAAAAAAACATCTTCAGCTGTAAAATGCAACTTCCACAGGGAACAGTTTTGACTTCATGTCTCTAACTTGTAGAGCTATATCTTCACAGTGTGGTATTAGTATTAAAGGATATATATACTTCCTCATGTCCTCAGGCGGTGTGGATCAGTACTCTTTCATGTCTCCTTCTTCTAAATCTAAATAAAGCCTCTTGTATCAGCTGGAAAATGCATCGTCACAAAGCTGAAAACTGGGCAGTTATTGTGAGAAACTCATGAAAAGATGACTATTTTTTAAAGCACATAATGTCTAATAGGTATAAGATGCACCGCTGCAGACACCCAACATTAAAGTAGTTAAAACATTTGTATAATGCAACATACACAAGGAACAGTTTTGACTGCATGACTCTAACTTGTAGTGTGTGTTAGTATGTGTACTTCAGTAAATCTTCACAGAGTGTGTTAGTATGTGTACTTCAGTAAATCTTCACAGAGTGTATTAGTATGTGTACTTCAGTAAATCTTCACAGAGTGTGTTAGTATGTGTACTTCAGTAAATCTTCACAGAGTGTGTTAGTATGTGTACTTCAGTAAATCTTCACAGAGTGTATTAGTATGTGTACTTCAGTAAATCTTCACAGAGTGTATTAGTACGTGTACTTCAGTAAATCTTCACAGAGTGTATTAGTACGTGTACTTCAGTAAATCTTCACAGAGTGTATTAGTATGTGTACTTCAGTAAATCTTCACAGAGTGTATTAGTACGTGTACTTCAGTAAATCTTCACAGAGTGTATTAGTACGTGTACTTCAGTAAATCTTCACAGAGTGTATTAGTATGTGTACTTCAGTAAATCTTCACAGAGTGTGTTAGTATGTGTACTTCAGTAAATCTTCACAGAGTGTATTAGTATGTGTACTTCAGTAAATCTTCACAGAGTGTATTAGTACGTGTACTTCAGTAAAGGATCTATATACTCCCTCCTGTCCTCCAGGCTGCGCTGGCGGTGTGGATCACCGTGCTGAGGTTCATGGGAGACTTACAGGAGCCCAAGAGTCAGATGGCGATAAACGACGGCAGCGAGAAGATCCCCGTCATGACGAAGATCTACGAGACCCTCGGAAAGAGGACGTACAAGAGAGAGCTGCAGGAGCTGCAGGTGGAGGGGGAGGTGAGAGGGTCACGGTGTTTTGATAGCGTTACAGATTGAGGATAACATAAATAATGACTCCATGTTTGTTTCTACAGAACAGCGCCATCGACAGCCAGAAGAGGAACAGTGTGAGACATAAACTGGTGTCTCTCACTCTGAAGAGGAAATCTAAAATCACGGAGGAGGTGAGATTCAAACCAGCTAATTATTTTATAGTTATCACCAGATGTTGTTGTTTCTGTACTTGCAAACAAACAACTGCACACTGTCTAACTTGCAAAACAAGTTGCTTTGCTGTTATACCTTCATCAGGCAACAAGTCTACCTCCAAATGATTATTTTGATGTACTCCCTCCTCTCCTACGCTCCTGTCTGATGCAAACGATGTGTGGAATGTTCTTCTGGTTCTTTATATTTGAACATTGTATCATATACTGGAGCACTTACACAACACACTGATATCACTTGTTTTGGATTAAAGACAATAAAAAAGGCAATCATGTTGTAAAATGTACATTCTCTAATTTTGGTTTCATGATGATGATCCCCTGGGAGACTTCAATGAGTCCCCGTCAGCACTTGTTGGACAGTGTGATTACTCAGACCACATCAATTAAGAGGTTTTTCTTTGTTTCAAATGTGCTTCAGGTGACCAGACGTCTGACGGAGGGGGATTACGGCCTGCAGGGGAACAGCATGCTGGAGGACAGACCCACCTCCAACCTGGAGAAACTCCACTTCATCATCGGGAACGCCATCTTAAGACCCGCCCTCAGGTGAGCCGAGAGAAACTGCATATTTAATATCTTTAATTCCTTTTAATGTCATCACCAAATCCAGAGTAGTTTGTAAAATCATGGAGTGCAGTGTTTCTAAATCCTGCCGAGGTGGGAAGTAGTGGAGTACAAATACTTCGTTACTGTACTTAAGTACATGTTTCTGGTATCAGTACTTTACTCCACGACTTATTTTCCTGACGACTTTTTACTTTGACTTCTTACATGTTGAACACAAATACCTGTACTTTCTACTTCTTACATGTTGAACACAAATACCTGTACTTTCTACTTCTTACATGTTGAACACAAATACCTGTACTTTCTACTTCTTACATGTTGAACACAAAATACCTGTACTTTCTACTTCTTACATGTTGAACACAAATACCTGTACTTTCTACTTCTTACATGTTGAACACAAATACCTGTACTTTCTACTTCTCACATGTTGAACACAAATACCTGTACTTTCTACTTCTTACATGTTGAACACAAATACCTGTACTTTCTACTTCTCACATGTTGAACACAAATACCTGTACTTTCTACTTCTTACATGTTGAACTCAAATACCTGTACTTTCTACTTCTTACATGTTGAACTCAAATACCTGTACTTTCTACTTCTTACATGTTGAACTCAAATACCTGTACTTTCTACTTCTTACATGTTGAACACAAATACCTGTACTTTCTACTTCTCACATGTTGAACACAAATACCTGTACTTTCTACTTCTTACATGTTGAACACAAATACCTGTACTTTCTACTTCTTACATGTTGAAACACAAATACCTGTACTTTCTACTTCTTACATGTTGAACACAAATACCTGTACTTTCTACTTCTCACATGTTGAACACAAATACCTGTACTTTCTACTTCTTACATGTTGAACCAAATACCTGTACTTTCTACTTCTTACATGTTGAACACAAATACCTGTACTTTCTACTTCTCACATGTTGAACACAAATACCTGTACTTTCTACTTCTTACATGTTGAACTCAAATACCTGTACTTTCTACTTCTTACATGTTGAACTCAAATACCTGTACTTTCTACTTCTTACATGTTGAACTCAAATACCTGTACTTTCTACTTCTTACATGTTGAACACAAATACCTGTACTTTCTACTTCTCACATGTTGAACACAAATACCTGTACTTTCTACTTCTTACATGTTGAACACAAATACCTGTACTTTCTACTTCTTACATGTTGAACACAAATACCTGTACTTTCTACTTCAACATGTTGAACACAAATACCTGTACTTTCTACTTCTTACATTGTTGAACACAAATACCTGTACTTCCTACTTCTTTACATGTTGAACTCAAATACCTGTACTTTCTACTTCTTACATGTTTGAACTCAAATACCTGTACTTTCTACTTCTTACATGTTGAACACAAATACCTGTACTTTCTACTTCTCACATGTTGAACACAAATACCTGTACTTTCTACTTCTTACATGTTGAACACAAATACCTGTACTTTCTACTTCTTACATGTTGAACACAAATACCTGTACTTTGTACTTCTTACATGTTGAACACAAATACCTGTACTTTCTACTTCTTACATGTTGAACACAAATACCTGTACTTTCTACTTCTTACATGTGAACACAAATACCCTGTACTTTCTACTTCTTACATGTTGAACACAAATACCTGTACTTTCTACTTCTTACATGTTGAACTCAAATACCTGTACTTTCTACTTCTTACATGTTGAACTCAAATACCTGTACTTTCTACTTCTTACATGTGAACTCAAATACCTGTACTTTTCTACTTCTTACATGTTGAACACAAATACCTGTACTTTCTACTTCTTACTACTGTTGAACACAAATACCTGTACTTTCTACTTCTTACATGTTGAACTCAAATACCTGTACTTCTACTTCTTACATGTTGAACACAAATACTTGTACTTTCTACTTCTCACATGTTGAACACAAATACCTGTACTTTCTACTTCTTCACATGTTGAACTCAATACCTGTTACTTTCTACTTCTTACATGTTGAAACCCAAATACTTGTACTTTCATACTTCTCCACATGTTGAACCCAAATACTTGTACTTTCTACTTCTCTACATGTTGAACTCAAATACCTGTACTTTCTACTTCTTACATGTTGAACACAAATACCCTGTACTTTCTACTTCTCTCATTTTGAACACTAATACCTGTACTTTCTCTACTTCTTACATGTTGAACTCAAATACCTTACTTTCTAACTTCTTACATGTTGAACCCAAATACTTGTACTTTCTACTTCTCACATTTGAACACAAATACCTGTACTTTCCTACTTCTTACATGTTGAACTCAAATACCTGTACTTTCTACTTCTTACATGTTGAACCCAAATACTTGTACTTTCTACTTCTTCACAGGTGTTGAACCCAATACTTGTACTTTCTACTTCTTACTGTTGAACTCAAATACCTGTACTTTTCGACTTCTCACATGTTGAACTCAAATACCTGTACTTTCTACTTCTCACATGTTGACCCCAAATACTTGTACTTTCTACTTCTCACATGTTGAACCCAATACTTGTACTTTCTACTTCTTACATGTTGAACTCAAATACCTGTACTTTCTACTTCTTACATGTTGAACTCAAATACCTGTACTTTCTACTTCTTACATGTTGAAACTCAAATACCTGTACTTTCTACTTCTCTCATTTTCCAAACAGCTGGTTCCTTTAGTCTGAATGTGTGTTTGATGCGTGATCATTATTCTTTAGAGTCATTGCGTGCCTATTGATTTGAACACGATCCGTGTATCCATCATTTCCTGGTCTTCTCTAAAGAAGAGGGACCAATGGAAACGTTGTCATGTTGCCGTTGTTCAGCATGGAAACATTCATTAGCTAACAATGACATTATTGTTCTATTAATATAAAGGGAGGTCAGGTACTCTTTAAAGCAGCTGCTAGTTATGGGTACTTTTTACTGAAGTACATTTCAAAGCCCTCTTTACTTTTACTTGAGTAAAGAAGTTTAGTCAGTACTTCTACTTTTACCAGAGTATTTTTAAACACGAGTATCTGTACTTCTACTTGAGTAAAGGTTTTGCCATCCTGCAGTTGTAACTCTATCAGAGATCTTGGGTATTGTTTTGCTCAGCTGTTGTTGCTCTGTGTCTTCAGGGATGAGATCTACTGTCAGATCTGCAAACAGCTGACTCAGAACTCGTCTAAGAGCAGCCACGCTCGAGGCTGGATCCTGCTGTCGCTCTGCGTCGGCTGCTTCGCCCCCTCAGAGAAGTTCGTCAAGGTAACAGACCTTGAAATAAAGCAGGAATAACTTCCAATGCAATGTGAAAGTACAGCTTAGAAACACTGGAGTTCATCTCTGAATCCCTGGTTAGTCGGTTAAAGTTAGACTCATAAGTGTCTCAGGATGCTGATACTAGTTATTCCAACACTTTAAACATGACAGTAAATACGATGATATTATCCTCCATACGCTTTGATTTGTAAGCTGTAGCTGCTTCAAACATTATGTAATACAATTATGCAAGAGTGCATTTTATGGCGTATAAATCGAACTTTTAATTCATGAAATTAAGAGGAATATGTTTGGCTTTTCTCTAAGAATTCATTTGTAATTATTGATGAGATAATTCAGGTATGTTGAAGAATGAAAGCAGTGAATGCACGCTTGATGAAAGATGTTAGAAAGGGAGCTCTGTTCTAATAAAACTAATGAAAAATAAAGCTTTTCCTAAAGTGGCATTTAGTCTGAAGATCTATGTGTGTTTATCACAGCAACAACTCTCTATATAAATGGATAAAACAGATATCAAATACTGCAGATGATCTGAAATTCATAGTTTTTTGAGGGGAATAATTTGCTTAGGTATTCAACCTTTGACACAGTTCATCATGTTCCTCTTTTCACTGTCTCTTTTCCCACGGCCTGGGGTATTGCTGCTATCTCTCTTAAGGAGGGGCAGCTTGGGCGCATTGTTGTTGCCAGTCTATGACCGAGCACAAGCCGACATGAGGTAGTTTATGGACTTCGCCACCACCGCCCTTCTTATTACAGACACATGCATTTCCTAACATTCGGTCTATATGCTGTAAAATGTATTATCTCTTTGATTTACACACGGCATCTATTGCACGTCTGTCCGTCCTGGGAGAGGGATCCCTCCTCTGTTGCTCTCCCTGAGGTTTCTCCCATGTTCCCTTTAAACTGTGGGTTTTCTCTGGAAGTTTTCCCTTGTACGATGTGAGGGTCTAAGGACAGAGGGTCTAAGGACAGAGGGTCTGAGGACAGAGGGTCTAAGGACAGAGGGTCTAAGGACAGAGGGTGTCGTATTGTCATACTGATATTCTGTACAAACTGTAAAGTCCACTGAGACAAATGTAACATTTGTGATATTGGGCTTTATAAATAAACATTGATTGATTGATTGATAGAAGCCCTTCTTTTTAGGAACGTAGGTTCCCTGGCACACGTTCTTTCTATGGACAACAGCTTTAGTTAGATTCAGGGTTCATATTTGTTTAGTCTCGCTGATAAAGAATGTTGATTATTACACTCTGAACTAGTTAAAACCTGGAGCTACAGGAGGGGTCTTCAGAATTGATTGTGGCATCTCAACCGTGTGGTCAACTCGTGGCCCGTGACATGTCTTGTGAATTCTCCGGCCGAAGCTCCAAATAAACCGTCAGTGTTTGCCATCAAAGCTCCAGCTCTCCTCGTGTCTCTCTGAGTCCTGACTCCATCAAAGCTCCAGCTCTCCTCGTGTCTCTGAGTCCTGACTCCATCAAAGCTCCAGCTCTCCTCGTGTCTCTGAGTCCTGACTCCATCAAAGCTCCAGCTCTCCTCGTGTCTCTCTGAGTCCTGACTCCATCAGAGCTCCAGCTCTCCTCGTGTCTCTGAGTCCTGACTCCATCAGAGCTCCAGCTCTCCTCGTGTCTCTGAGTCCTGACTCCATCAGAGCTCCAGCTCTCCTCGTGTCTCTCTGAGTCCTGACTCCATCAAAGCTCCAGCTCTCCTCGTTTCTCTGAGTCCTGACTCCATCAAAGCTCCATCTCTCCTCGTGTCTCTCTGAGTCCTGACTCCATCAAAGCTCCAGCTCTTCTCGTGTCTCTCTGAGTCCTGACTCCATCAAAGCTCCAGCTCTCCTCGTGTCTCTCTGAGTCCTGACTCCATCAGAGCTCCAGCTCTCCTCGTGTCTCTCTGAGTCCTGACTCCATCAAAGCTCCAGCTCTCCTCGTGTCTCTCTGAGTCCTGACTCCATCAAAGCTCCAGCTCTTCTCGTGTCTCTCTGAGTCCTGACTCCATCAAAGCTCCAGCTCTTCTCGTGTCTCTCTGAGTCCTGACTCCATCAAAGCTCCAGCTCTCCTCGTGTCTCTCTGAGTCCTGACTCCATCAAAGCTCCAGCTCTCCTCGTGTCTCTCTGAGTCCTGACTCCATCAAAGCTCCAGCTCTCCTCGTGTCTCTCTGAGTCCTGACTCAAACTCAAGCTAAACTTTTAAGAAAATGATTTACTCAGGTGGAATTTAACCCAAACAATGTAGTTGTAAGTATTTCTCAAAAGCATTTAATGACTTGTATTCCTTTCCCGTGTCTAATCTTCATCGACATCCATGTCTGTCTCTGTCTCTCTAACTCTACCTAATGGTTTGTTTCTCTTTCCCTCTGTCAGTATTTACGGAGGTTTTTGATCAACGGTCCCCCTAGTTACGCTCCATATTGTGAGGAAAGGTTGAGAAGGACGTTTGTGAACCGAACCAGAACTCAACCGCCATCTTGGCTGGAGCTACAGGTCAAATACTTTTTGTATTATTATTTGTATATGCATTGTATTTTATCTTTATGTTCTACCTTATTTGAATCCTGTTTTTTCACTCTGCTGCTGCCGCTGCTATAAACGCCTCAATTTCCCCGCGGGGATAAATAAAGTTCCATCTTATCTAATCTTATATTTTAAGTCACTTGATGTGGTGGGTTCATATCAATTGGAATATTCTTCACCTCAGCCATCATATTAAACGTTTTTGATTAGATATATTGTTTCGTTTGTTTTTCAATAACAAATGTATTTTGGATGGTGAATGAAAAAAGATAGCCTTTTATTTGTCTTATAAAATATGACATACAACGTAGAAGAATAATATAATATATTTACTGTAGTAGTAATAATGATAGGTACCACTTTACAATAAGACTACCCTTATAAAGGATTCATGACGGGTTTAAATTAGGTTATGAATTAGGTTTTAAGCACTTTATTAATCATTAAGAACCATTTATAAACCAGTTCTAACATAGAATACATCGACACAGGCTCACTATTTGGCAAGATGACTAAGCCTTATATTGGCTACTTAGCGAGAATCAACAGATACCAAGGATGCTGGCTGAAGAAGACGAAGTAAGCTAGGTAGCCAATATTGCCACGACCTCGATACAAACTGATGAACCAAAATGCACGACCCAGAGACAAAGTCTTGAATGTAACAAAAGTATTTTTAATTCCAATGATCAGGAAATCTGGCATAAACAAAAAGCGTTCACAAGGAGGAAAAAACCAAAACAAAATAAAACTTAAGAAAAACTTAAGCCTACAAAATTAACAACAAAACAAAACCTGACATGAGAGAAAGCGATCCTTTCTGATCTGAGGCTTGGCACGAGCATTCGGGGAAACAAACAAGACGAACTGACCTACTGTAGGACAGGGGAGAGACAGGACTGTTTAAACATGAGGTGAGTGGGGACAGGTGGAAACAATCAGGCTGATGATGGCGGGAAAAACACACGGGGGGAGGAAGAAAACAGGGCCTGCAATTAAAGACAAGAAGTAAGTACAAAATAAAACAGGAAATGACAGAGAAAATACACGAACAAAAGTAACACATTTGACGAGACACAACAAATATAAGACTTAGCAGTACTGATAAATGTGGGCTCACTATTTGGCAAGCAACCGGTCACAATCGCCCATGTCTTATAAAAGCTTATTAAGGATTTATAAAGTGTTCACAACCTAATTAATAAATGAATTACAAACTATTCGTAAAGGGGTAGTCTTATTGTAAAGTGGTACCGAAAATATATATATGTTAATAATTTAGTTTTTGGGAGAAGGGGTTAAATAAGTGTAGACTTCTTCCCTCCCCTTTTCGGATGTGTAATCAGGTAGATCGTTTGTTTATATATAATTTGTAATTCAGTAATATTTGTGTTTATCAAGTTGACACTGCTTACGTTTGTACAGTATAATAGTTATCATGTTTCATTTCATTATTATTTGTTGGTATTTGTAGTAAGTCTGTAAAGGCGTGTTATTATATTTTGACTTCTCTTGTGTGTCAGTGCGTACTCAGCGGTGAACGTCAGCACTAACCTGACGCAAATAGTTATTGTTTTACACGTTCGAAATAAATCTAAATCAAATATTTTTGACTTAAATCCATAGACTGTATATATAAAGCTTAAATCCCATCTCTCCCCCTCAGGCCACTAAATCTAAGAAGCCCATCATGCTGCCGGTGACCTTCATGGACGGCACCACCAAGACTCTTCTGGCCGACTCGGCCACCACGGCCTCGGAGCTCTGCAACGCCCTCGCTGACAAAATAAGCCTGAGAGACCGCTTTGGGTTCTCGCTGTACATCGCCCTGTTCGACAAGGTGAGACCAGGGATGTATAATAAGAAGAGGAGATAAGTGAGAGGATAAGTGAGACCAGGAAATGAGATCAAACTATAAACCTGTCCTGCTGTGAAAACCATTTATCTCCAGATGATAATCAGGGTGTCCGCGGGGTCTTAAAAAGTATTACAAGTTGATAAATCAATTTAGCGAAAATTAAGGCTATTAAAAAGTATTAAACGGCATTTTAGCTTGTTTTCAATAAGTCTATAAATTGTCCAAAGAGGTTGTATTCTACAGTCTGCCTGAATGTAATCATGGCGTAGGTGTGTAGTGTGATTCTGTGTAGTTTATTGATGGCATCCCGTTGGGTTTGACGTCATCTGAACAGGACATCGCACGCTCACTGCTTGATAGCGCGAAGGTCCGTTTACGCCGGTTGCTAAACAACATCGTTATGGGAAAATGCAAGTCTTGAGTCCAAATGGTTGGAAGATAAGGAGGAAGGACAATCAATACTGTGTATAGTCAATGTGAGGTAAAGTGTGTCGCCAAGGTAACCGGTTACAACTCAAAGTGGCGATGAGGTCTTAAAATGTATGGAAAGGGTCCAAAGATCCCAAACAACTACTTAAGATTCCAAAAATACCGTAAATTCCAAAAATACTCAAAGTTCCAAAAATACCGTAAATTCCAAAAATATTTAAAGTTCCAAAAATACCGTAAATTCCAAAAATACTTAGTTACAAAAATACTTAAAGATCCAAAAATACTTATAGTTCCAAAAATACCGTAAATTCCAAATATATTTAAAGTTCCAAGAATACCGTAAATTCCAAAAATACCATAAATTCCAAAAATACTTAAAGTTCCAAAAATACTTAAAGTTCCAAATATACTTAAAGATCCAAAAATACTTAAAGTTCCAAATATACTTAAAGATCCAAAAATACTTAAAGTTCCAAAAATACTTAAAGTTCCAAATATACTTAAAGATCCAAAAATACTTAAAGTTCCAAAAATACTTAAAGTTCCAAAAATATTTAAATTCCAAAAATACCGTAAATTCTTGATGTTTGTGATAAACTGAAGGATGAAGTGTTCCTTATGTGTGTCCTCCTCTCTAAAGTCTTTAGAAGCCTCTTGATACAGCATCGTCACAAAGCTGAAAACAGGCTGTTTTTCTTTTTTGATTTACTTCCAAAAGCTTACAACACACGGAGATCTTACAGAATATGATGCATTTCTGCAGATTAAACTACCCAACCGTATATAAAGGAGTTACAATGACCACAAGATTAATTATCTACAGCCGGGGAATCCCCTCATTCATTGGTTGTCATTTTCCCGTTTCCCAATAGATTGAATTAGTAGTAAAAAGAACCATTTAAACAGATAACATTTGATGCATAATAAACAGACACATACTTTTAATTAAGTGAGATTTGACTGACTTCAACTACTACTAGTGGATTATTTGCTCAGTCTTTTCTCAGAAGTGAATGTGTTTGTTTGCTCTCCTCCAGGTCTCGTCTCTCGGCAGCGGCAGCGACCACGTGCTGGACGCCGTGTCTCAGTGCGAACAGTACGCCAAGGAGCAGGGTGCGCAGGAGAGGAACGCCCCCTGGAGGCTGTTCTTCAGGAAGGAAATCTTCAACCCCTGGCACGACCCGGAGGACGACCACACCGCCACCAACCTCATCTACCAGCAGGTCGTACGGGGCGTGAAGTTCGGAGAGTACCGCTGCGAGAGGGTGAGCACAACTGTAACAAGTGATCAGATTAACCCGTAATGAAACCAAGTTGAAATTCAATACAGATATATACAAGGTGAGCAAAAAAGATATCATATATGATTTGCCTCCTAATGCTCGTCTCTTGCCCTGTGTATCTCCAGGAGGAGGACCTGGCAGAGCTGGCCTCTCAGCAGTATTTCGTGGATTACGGTGCTGAGGTCCTCCAGGATCGTCTGCTCAGCCTCGTCCCGTCCTACATCCCTGACAGAGAGATCTCCTCCACCAAGACCACCGAGAAGTGGCTGCAGCTCATCGTCAGCGCCCACAAAAAGGTAAACGTCACCACATCTGACAACTGTGTGCTTCAAGATTCAAGGCTTTATTGTCATGTGTACGTAAGCTACCGTCAATGAAACACTCAAGTCACAGGCTCCTCCAACAGAGCAACATATAAGATAGTAGTTTATTGATCCCAATGTGGGACATTTTTGTGTTGCAGCAGCATAAAAAGACATGGCATTGTACAATAAAAATTAAAAAGACTAGATATATATATACATGGAACATAGAACAATAAATAGCTTCATTGTCAGCGCTCACAAAAAGGTCAAAATCATCCAATCTGATAACTGTGTGTTGTCAAGATTCAAGGCTTATTGTCATGTGCACAGTAGGGAAAGTGTAGGGAGTGAGCAATGAACAACTCAGCACAGCCTAGGCTCCTCCAAACAGAGCAACATGAATATAGGTATAGGACATAGAACAAATAATAGCTCATCGTCAGCACCCCCACAAAAAGGTAAACGTCACCACAACATCCATAAACAATCCATCTGAGTTGCATTTTGCAAATTATGATCTAATATATCATTTCCATTTACTTGTATATAGACTCTTCTGGCACTATTTATTTTCTATTGTATTTACTTGCTCCAAACATTATCTTGCACAATTGTATTTGTTCTATGTCCTATATATATTCACGTTGCTCTGTTGGAGGAGCCTGGGACTTCAGTTTTCCATTGACATATCTACAGTATACTGTACTCCAATGTACACATGACAATAAAGCTTTGAAACTTGAATCTTGAAACATCTGACAACTGTGTGTGTGTAGCTGTGTGACAGTAACTAACTCAAAGTGTGTGTGTGTGTGTGTGTGTGTGTGTGTGTGTGTGTGTGTGTGTGTGTGTGTGTGTGGTGTGTGTGTGTGTGTGTGGGTGTGTGTGTGTGTGTGTGTGTTGGTGTGTGTGGTGTGTTGTGTGTGTGTGTGTGTGTGTGTGTGTGTGTGTGTGGTGTGTGTGTGTGTGTGTGTGGTGTGTGTGTGTGTTGTGTGTGTGTGTGTGTGTGTGGTGTGTGTGTGTGTGTGTGTGTGTGTGTGTGTGTGTGTGTGTGTGTGCAGGGACTACACAGTAAACGCAGGCTGAGCACTCAGAGGGTGAAGGAGGACGTGGTGGACTTTGCTCGGTTAAAGTGGCCTTTACTCTTCTCACGCTTCTACGAGGCCTTCAAGTTCTCCGGTTGGTCATACTGTATACAGCTGTCTTATTTACTATTGGGGTCCTTTGGAGGGGAACTATCCCCTCCCTCTTCATAAATGTGCTTTCTACTCCTACTTTAATCTTGTACATTATGACCGTCTTTCCCTGGATCCATAATGTGAAAAAATACCTTTAATTACCCAAACACGCTGTTGTCCTTACTCATGTAGGAATCATACTTGCCAACCCTCCCGATTTTCGCGGGAGACTCCCGATTCCATTGCCCTCTCCCGGTTTCCTCCCGGGGTCATATTTCTCCCGATTTCTGACAAAATCAGATTTACTCACGACTGCTTCCACTCGGACTTTAATACAGCTACACCATTGTTTGGTTTCCATGGTAGCGCGCTCGCTTTAGTAGCGCAACTGAAAGTCTGAGAGGGTGAGGAATAGTCACAGAAAACAGAACAAGAATCGACGACCCCTGCTCACTCCTCAGGTCCAGCCCACACATATGCTCCATCAAGACAGTGCACTTACAACTACAATAGCATGTTAGTTAATGTTAATCCAATACAGCTCCGGCGATCCACTAGCACCCCCCCCCCCCCCCCCTCCGCGGTGGTTTTTGAAATCCTCCCGATTTCTGAAGTCTCAAGGTTGGCCAGTATGGTAGGAAAGGAATGTATTGTTTATAGTGTCGTGGACCGTCCCCATTGAGGGTGGAGTGGCGCAGTGGGCTGTGTGTTTGACCATCAGTGGTGTACTGTGGGTATTGTCCACAGTACATGACCATTACATGTATGTATGTGTAATGTGTATCTGTAAGGAGCTTTGAGTCATTGAAAAGCGCTTTAATAAATATAAGGAATTATTATTATTATTGATCGACTGTCACAAAAACTGGAAATGGGGCAGCTTTAGCCAACATTGCTAATTTCCAGCTGTTGTCCCCAGCCAGATGATAATAATTTCAATTATATTATAGCGTCTTTCAAGAGACCCAAGGATGCTTTACAAAACAAAACAACAAAATAATAATAGTCCCACAGATACAGGTTTGAAAAGAACAGGTTGCTGGGTATAATAGTCACCAAGACATCATCACAGCATTAGTTTAAAAAAAAAGGACATGTGATGCATAGTTTTACTTCCATGTTCCTTTATATATACTAATGGACACCCTTAAAATCACAACACATCAACAGCATTAGTTTTAAAGAAAGAGGATGAAGTAGATAGAGGCGAAAGGATAGAAGAGACCAATCAAATATAAAACACACGTTACTACGTACATGTCACATATCACAATCATACAAACAGAACATTGCAAAAACTGTAAACACACACACCCACACACACACACACACACACACACACACACCACACACCACCACACACACACACACACACACCACACACACACACACACACAACTCCACCCCTCAAACTGCAACCACTACTATTTTAGAAAAACTACTGTAAGTGTAAATATGCAAATTGACATGTATGTTTATCCGTTGCGCTGTCATCGCGAGTGGAGATTATGAATGGGACAGCAGTGTCACAGAAATGCTCAAGCGGTTGAACTGGGTGGAATTAAGTGAAAGGCGGCGATTGGCTCGTTTGGTTCTCTTCTTCAAGATTGTCCATAACATCTCAGCCATTGATGCATCAATGTACCT